CTGCTGGAAGCACATCACCTCTTGGGAAACTGAGGCACGGTGAGCTGGGAACTGTTGGTGGGAGCCTTTGTTGCCCTACTCACCTCTGTCTGTCTGTCCACCTAACTGACCACTGCTGGAGGCTCTGGCTCTGCCATAGCTTGTGCAGTGCAGGGCCATGAGTCACTTAAACTCTGCATAATTAATTATTTTCTTTTACCACCCCAAACCCACACTGCCTGCCAAATCTAAGCAGTGTGCAGCAGCAAGGCTCCAGCCCAGGACAGCTCTAAAGCTCCCTGGTTTGCTGTCAGGGTCAGCACCGAATGAGACACCTGCAGCTGGAGACAGCCCAGCATCCAGTCCAGGAGCTCTGGTTGGCAGCAGCAGTTATCCCCTCCATGGCCTTGCGAAGAGGGGGGGCTCCTGCCTGCCAGACAGGGGATTTTGGGGTGGGAGAGCCAGGTTTGTAAGGCCAGGTCTGCCCCAGGAGCTGCTGTTGGGAGGAGAGGGGTGCACAGGCTGTGGGAAAGTGGGGTCGGATCCAGCTGGTCCACTAGTTCAAGTTTCTTTTCCCTCCTGTTTTTACCTCCATTCCATGGTTTTAACATTAAAAATTCACTCCCCAAAGGAAGGAGCAGAAAGGTCCCCTCGCACACCTTACACTGCTGAAACCCCATGAGATCCACCTCAACCACGAAGCGTTGAGAGGCATTAAATCAACAGCGTCTGCCTCACTGCCCTCCCCTCTCCCCACATCTACCTCCCCTCCCCTGGGCTGAATAGGGACCATGAGAAACCAGGCTTGGTGGGAACGGCCCTGTGCCCTTCGCTTTCTTTCAGGATCAGCACGTTTACGGGGCCACTTGTGTTCCCCAAGCCCCTCTCCCCTTGCAACACTGAGGGTTGTAATCTGGGGGCAGCGGGCTTGGAGATGGAGAAGAATGCAGGAGTAGGGAGGAGGGGGACGGGGACCATCCCCTCCCGCCACCGCTAAAGCCCCAAATTCTTAGACCTGGAGGAGTCACCACCAAATTCCATTCAACTGACAGAAAAGAAATCAAATCCTTTTAAAGAGAGCCCACTTTCCCCGCAAGAATGCTCCCTCGGCCTTTTGTTTCAGGGCTTTGCTTGCTCCCAGCAGCTCAGAGGAAGCTGCTCCAATACATTAACCAGTTTAACTTGCTCGTGACCCCCTCTGCCCAGCACACAATGAAGCTCTTCGCCCGCTTTTTTCCCCGGCTCCCTTTCAGGAGCTAAATCCCCCGCTGTTCCCCGCTCACTGCCTCTCTCGCTCAACCTTTCTCAGGCCTCTGCTTCAGCCCCGGGAAAATAATAACGCTTTGCATTTGTATAGCCCCCTGGCCTCGTGGGATCTCAAAGTGCCCTGCACGGATCGCATCGTGTCCCCCATGCCCCACCGAGGGGACCCGCAGTGCCCCGAGGTGGAGGGGGAAAGCGATGAAGCGTCTGAGGCCACAGAGGGTGGATGTGGTTTGCAGCAGGTCCCGGCATAGAGAGGTGTCAGAGCTGGAGCACATCAGGGGACAATGGGGATGGGGACAGTTCAGCATCAGGAGATGAATCATGAGTACCCATTGCAGGAGATTTGGGTGCTGGACAGAGAGGCAACAACATGCTCCACTCTCCTCAGCCACCCCAGTGGCACTGTCAGACCCTCTGCTACAAAGGCAGGAAGGTTTTATGTTCCCAGGGTGCTTAAAAAAACCCAATAGATGAAAAAACGAGCCCTCGCGCTAGCCCTGAATAGCAGAGTCCATCAGACAATGGGAAGTTAACCAAACCCCGGCCAGGGAGCGCAGAAGTCTGCCGCGGGGCGCTGCCGTTTTCCTACCAGTAATTGATGCAAAGTCTCTTTTGTGATCTCAGAAAATCCCAGAAAGAAAAAGTGGGGGGTGAGAGGAGGGCCGCGGGCGGGATCCGGCTCCCGGGCCGCCCTCCTCCAATGTTTTCCTCGCACTCCTCGGCCACGCAGTTGGAGCAGAAGCTGCCTGGCCACCCGTTGGGGCTGAACCCCGTTAAATACCCACGCCAATACGACGGCAGCGAAGTCGGTGCCTGACAGAGCTTTTAACCCCTGTTTGACGAAGCGCGTAAATCGTTCTGGGTAGACAATGCAGCTTTGCAGCCCGAGCGCAGTGTTTCTCTCGAATGACCTGAAAACTTTATTACTGGGGATTTATTAACCATTTTTTAGCAGCTCTGAGAACCTGGGAGCTTCTTAGGGACCACCTATCGAGCGCCAGGGTCAGACTGCGAGCAGGGGTGATGGGGAGGATTTAAACCAATTTAAACCGACCTAATACCCCGGTACAGCTGAAAGCGAGATGCCCCACATGCAGCCCCAGCCCGGGGTCAGTGCGAGGCTGAATCCAGCCAGCTCCAGTGGAAAACCAGTATGGGGTTTTGGCAAGGTTAATTTGCAGTGGGAATGAGCTGGTGGGGTTCATCCTCAAAGGGCATATCCCTGAGATCTGGGGGACTTGGGCAGTGGGTTCTGGCTCAGACCCATCCCTGCAGAGCCGGGCAGAGCGGGGGGCACACCACCACCCCACAGCCAGGCTCACCCTGTGACATCTTAGTGGGGTGAGTTACGGGTTGTGTCCAAATTGGGATCCTTTTTGGGGGAGGAATTGAGATGTCCCTCCCGGTCCAGATCTGGCATCCCTCCTGCACAGCGGACGTGACAGCATCCTTCTCCCCTGGCCCTTGTATCTATGGGGCACCCAAATCTGTCTGGTGCTGGGGTCACCCCCATTAGGGCTAGGCTCTTTGTCCCCAGAGGAGTGACTGAATGCCAGCGAACTGGGCACAGGGCGTTCCCAAGAGCATCCTCCCCACGGCAGCCTCCTGCTCCCCACCCCTTGGGTACCATTCTGTGCCCATTTAGGGGTAAGCAGGGTGACCGCTTACCCCCTCACCATTTCCCCACAGGGGACAGTGCCTCGCTGGGAACATCCACGTGGCAGGCGAGGGCCGAGCCAGGAGGCCAGGCGCCTGGAGAGGAAGCTTGCAGGGACTCAGCCAGCAGCTGGACAATCCCAGGGGAATCTCGCTCTGGCGGGACAATGCCACCGAAAGAACGGCTTCACCTCACCGCCGCGGCTCGCTGACCCCGGGCAGCCGGGCTGAGCTGAGTGCCAGCCCCGGGAAGGGGGTTACGGGGGGCCGGGAGAGCCCCTGTGCCAGCGCTGGCAGCAGCACGGCGGCTCGGAAGACCCCGCCGCATCGCTTGGGGGCCGGCAGCACACAGAGCCCGTATTGTCACTCACCCCGTGGCGCCGGCCGGGACCCCAACATCTGGCCACGGCGCGTGTCCCCAGCCAGCGCCGAGGCTGCGGGAGTGGGAGAGCAGCTGGTCGGGAGAAAAGTGCCTTTCCTCCCCTTTTGGCTCCTGGAGAAAGGGGCTCTTTCTTCATTCAGTGCTTTGCCGATCGGGCTTTTCAGCTGCCTCTCGAGCCGCGGTTGCTGTGCCATAGGGTTGGAGACAAAGGGCGCCTGAAAAAAAAAAAAAAAAACCAAAAAAACAAATTGAGACTGGAAGGCTGGACTCTGCAGCAATAGCGGGAAGTGGGGAGTGTGGGATTCGGTTCCTGTGTTTGTATGGTCTGACTGCTTTTTTTTTCTTTTATTATGAGAGACTTCTTTGGCAGCACAGGTCTCTCCCCAGACATGGGCATTGCAGTGCAAAACCAAACCCCACAGCCTTCCCCCCCCACACCCCACCCCACCTCGCACATGTCTAGCCTGGGGCCATGGTTCAAGGGCTGACCAGGGGAATGTATAGCCTAAAATCAGGAGAAGGCAAATGCTGGGGCTTGCCTGAGGAAGCAGCTTCCCTGCTTCGTCCTGCCTGGTATTATGGTATTGTTTATCCAGTGCCAGAGATGAATGGAGCACGTGACAGCAGGAAAAATGCAAGTTGGACAAGGTCCCTGCCCAAAAATGCAGCAGCCCCTGATTATGGCATTACATTGCAGCCCAGGCCCAAACCCAAATCCACCTCCCTGTAGCAGTTCACATGCTGGGAGAGAAAACCCCAAGAGCTCCCAGCCTGAGGAGACAGAGGATAAGGGGGAAAAGAGGCCCTGGGGTTTGGTGTCAGTAAAATAGCAGGTTGGTGGAACATCCAGGACCAGATTTCAACCCAGTTTTCCCTTGTAGCCTCCACTTCTCCCATTGCATGGCTGGAAAAAACGTATCTCATTTAACAAGACGTCGTTATCATGGTTAGAGATCACTGGGGGGGCTTGCTTGGCATCTATGTAGCATTTATTTTCAGACACTCCTGCATTTTGGGGCTGCCCATCAGCACCAGCTCCAAAGCATGGTGCTGCACCTGGGATGGGGTTAGCCAGGTCCGGGAGTGCCTCCAGGTCTCCCCGAGCAGGGATGGGAACAGACCCTCCAGCACCCCGTTCCCAGATTTACCCACCAGACTGGAGCTTGGTGGAAACGAGAGGAACACTGTGGGTTTTGGGGCGAGGGGGTTTGGCGGTTTGGTTTGTTTTTTTAAATGATGCTTGGCCTCAGAAGAGAGTGATGGGAAACTGCCTGGAGTTTGGTCAGGCTGGTCGGCTTTCTGGTAACCTCCTGGGCACGGCTGTGAGGAAACCTCAGCGCGGGGCTCCGGGAAACGGCAGCTCGGGACGGGCAGGATGGGGAACGCGCCCGCTGCTGCTGAAGAAGCAGCGAGGAGCGAGCGATGCTCCCGCCGTGCTGGGGGCCGCAGGGACCGGTGTACCCCCATCCTGCCCCCTGCCCACCGTCCCCCGGGGGCCTCCGTGGCGGGGGGGGGGGGACGGAGAAGCGGGCAGCCTGCCTGCACCCTGCCACGCACACCCACCCGTGGGCGAGGCACGGGCAGGGGATGAGCGGGGGCCTGGCAGGGCCGTACGCGTGGAAGCAGGGGGGGAGGGCTGGCGGGGAAGACGCGGGTGGGACGGAGCGGGCCGTGCCCACGCCCCGCGTGGGGGCGGCCCCGCGGCCCGTCCCGCCCCGGGCGGGGCGGGGGCGGTTTAAAGGCGGCGGCGCGGCGGGGGCCGGCGGTGGCGGGGCGGGCGGAGGCGCGGTCGGGCGCGGAGCGTGAGCGGCTGGGAGGATGCTGAAGAGCTGCGGGAGGAAACTGCTCCTGTCCCTCGTGGGCTCCATGTTCACCTGCCTCCTGGTGCTCATGGTGGAGCCGCCGGGGAGGCCGGGGCTGGCCCGGGGGGAGGCCGGAGGGGCGCAGCGGGCGCTGCAGAGCCTGGGGGCGGCGGCGGCCCCCGCGGCGGCTCAGGGTCCCCCCGGGCTCCGCAGCTTCGCCGACTACTTCGGGAGGCTGAGCCGAGCCCGGCGGGAGCTGCCCGCCGCCCCGCCGAGCCCCCCGCGGCCGCCGGCCGAGGACATCTCCCCCCGGGATGTCTTCATCGCCGTTAAGACCACCAAGAAGTTTCACAAGGCGCGGCTGGAGCTGCTGCTTGACACCTGGATCTCCCGCAACCGCGACATGGTACGGGGCTGGGGCTGGGTCCACGGGCCGGGCTGCAGCCTGCGGGGGTCTGCCGCGGTCCCGGCCCCTTCGTCGTGCGTGGGCCGAGGGGTGCTGTGACCCGGCAAATGCCACCTCCTCTTTCTACTCCCCCCGTATCGCCGAGCCGAATGGCTTTTGGAGGCTGTCTGGGCTGTTCTGGTGACAGATGGGGTTTGGGGAAGGTGAAGGGCAGCGTTGCAGGGTGAGTTTGGGATAGGTGAGTGATGGAGAGAGCCTGACCTGGGCTCCTTGAGCTCAGCAACCCCCCAAAACTCTGCTCTGGGGTCCTTCCTGCTGAGTGGCTCCCACTGTAGAGCTTGCCCTGAGATGTTGTCTAGTGGGGAAACTGAGGCACAGTATAGGGATGCAGCCTAAACCACCGGTGCCGCAATCAGGGCCAGGTCCCGGTGGGGGTCTCCTGGGCTGCAGAGCCTGGCTGTGGGTGAGGTTTAGCAGGGCCCCATGAGGTGCCTGTGGCTGAGTTGCCCGAAGGACACCTTGTTTAGCAGCCCAGGGCTAGGAGAGCACTGGGACATGCCGAGGCTCTTGGTCCCCCTGCCAGAAACTGGGCAGGACTGGAGTGGCTGGGGGCTCTTGTAGGACTGTTCTCGCTCACCCTCACCAGGGCAATTCCAGCTAGTCCAATTCCTGACCTTACTGATGTCCTGCCTAGAGCCCTGTCAGTACCTCATTCTGTCCTTCAACTCCTGAAGAAAATTAAAAAGAGGAAAAAAAAAAAAAGGCTGTTTCCTTAGGAAATGTGCCTTGCCATCTGTTCTTAAGATGCTTTTTTCTGTCCTTAGACAGCTTCCCAAGTAAGTTACGCCTGGTCCTAACCTTTCCATCCTACTGTCTTCACGTGTTTCCTCCTGGCTTGTAATTGTGTTTCTCGCTTGCAAACTGGTTGGTTGGTTGTTTTTTTTTTTTTTTTTTTTGAAATCTGAAGTGGCTGAGGAGGGAGGCAGGGGGGATGGACCTGCCCCTGCCTCCTTCATCCAGGTCTTGTGCACGCTCTGGGGACTTGGCTCTTCCAACTTACCCCAAGCATTAGCTTGCCTTTTTTTTCGCCCCCCTTATGAATCTTGTCTTTTTTTTTTTTTTTTTTCTTGCTCAGGTCTCCTGGGCTTGGCAGTGGCTCTGCTGTTTCTCTCTGCTAGAATTATTTAATGGAAACCTCTTTTATGCTCTGCTGTCACTGTGAGGGGGTGGTGAGTGGTGGTGGTGGGGAAACGTTCTTTGAGCACCTACAGATGATCCTGGGAATGGCTGCTCTTTTTTTTTCCCTCCCTCTTGTGAGCTCCGGCTTTCTTCTAGGTTTTTTTTTTTTTTTTTGTTGTGCTTCGTTTGTCCGTTTGGATTCCCAGAGACCCGAAGCTCGGCTCTCACGCTGTCCCCCTGGGCAAGCTAACAAAGCCCCTTTTCTCCTGGCGCAGAGAAAAGGCTTCGCAGCCTCTTGTGTGGCACTTTCCATGGGAACGGGGGAGCCAGAGCTGGCCGTGTCCAGGTCAGGTTGCCTAGAGATGAGGGCCACGAAGCCAGGGGGGCCGCAGCCCGGCGAGGTGCCCGCCTGACAAGCCAAGTCGCTGAGTGACGGCTCTTGTACAGCACTTGAGGACAAGGAGCTGCCGAGAGAGCTGGAGGCCACGCAAACTCCTGCGGAGCAAGGCGAGGGCTGGGGGGGACGCGGGGAGGCAGAGGGGATAGTCCTGTCTGGACCAGGGCTCTGGTCTTCCCATGCTGACCCGGCTGCTGTCTCTGGGGAACTTTGGGGCAAACTGAGCTCTCCCAAACTTGGCATAAAGTTGAGGCTTTTTGCCTGCAGAATGCAGGATCGGTGCCATGTGGCTCTTCTCCCTTGCGTCCCTGTCCTTGGGGGTGGGTGCTGTGTGGTTCCTGCATCCCCTCCTGGCCCAGCCCTGTGGTTTCTGCCCCAGGAGGGTGATTTGGTGACAGCGGGGCTCTGCCTCTGCTCAGATATCTCTCTTGGTCTGAGTCAGGCCTGTCCCTGCTCATCCTGTCGCTCTTGTTTCACTAACGGTGCTCCAGCACATGTGCTGCCTTGCCGACACATGGAAGTTCCCGCCCAAGGGCTGAGGTTGCCCCATGCCCAATGCCACATCTCTGCTTCCCCTGATCCTCCTCTCGCACCAAACCCCAACCTCCCTCTTGGCTGGTTGTCAGCCAGGCAGCTCTCTGGACAGGAGGGATGCAGGCACTGCTGCAAAAGGGTTAAACCCAGCAGGTAACGCCAGGCTGGACCCTGGCAGATAGTGGGAATAGCTATTGTGTCCTTTCTTGGCTGCTCTTTGTTCTACCCACAATAGTCTCTGTTTCCTGCCCTCTGTTCCCTCTAAGACATTGCAAAGGGCACCCCCTTCTCCTTCCTGCTTCTCTTTGCACGGGGAGGGCAGATCCCTATTCCCTTCTAAATCTGCTCCTCAGGTTGCACAATCCAGGCTGGACAAGCTACTGTTGGAGGAGGGTTATGGGTTTTCTCCTCCTTGTTTTGGGGAGAGTTTCCAGCTGTCTCGGTATCCTTAGGATGCTGGAGTGCAGTCTGGGGAAACTTTGCACTTGAAAGAAAAGAGAAGGGGGGGGAGGGAAATGGCCATTAAGCAGAAATCCTGGACAGGAGTGAGTCCAAACCCACCATTTTCCTGCTGAGTCGGATGATTTGCAGGGGCAGAGTTGCATAAGAAACATCCCCTGTCCTCGGGGCAGCCTGAAGGCGGTCGGGCGGCTCGGCACAGGCCTCGGTGCCCGTGAGGGCTCTCGGCTGCCGTCCCGCCAGCGTGGGATCTGCTGGCTTCCTCCAACTCGGTGTGGTAATTGCAGGCTTTGAAAAATTCCTGCTCTGGGGGCAGAGGGAATGGGTTTGCCTTCCGGAGAGCACGCTTCTCTTGATGGCGGCTCCCAAATTTCTCTAGCACCTTGGCCAGGGTCCCCATCCTTGGGGTGGCCACGGCAGAGTGTGCTGGCATGCATGTCCCACTTGGGCTCCCACCGAAGTGGCTGGGACTTGGGGGGGGGCGGAGAGCTGCTCATCCCAAACCAGCTCCATGATGCAGCCAGCTCCCCCCCAACCCTGGGCTGTATGCCAGTTGCCTGCTGAGCACTGCTGAACTTATCTCATGCGTGAGGGTCTCTCCCTGCTGCCCCCACCCCAGGCAGCCTGTGTGGTTTATGGGGGTGGGGGGCTCCTTAATTGCCTGCCCCAAATGATGCTGCTGTCCTTGTCCATAAAAGCCGGTGAGCGGTGTGCGTGGAGCGCCAGGCGGGAGGGTGGGGGACCCTCACCGCACAATGAGCTCATTGTTTGCGAGGAGGTTATTAAAAAATTATAGCATTTAAAATTACAGTGGAGGATTCTTCCTCTTGCTGAAAGGAGTGGGGGGGAGAAAGGGCCCGCAGCCTTTCAAGCCCCTTCCCTGCCTCTGTGGGTCTCAGCCCTGGGACCCCTGTGCCAACACAGCCCCCCCAGTCCTGGGGAAAGCCACTGCCATGGGGGAGCGGGGGTACTGCCATCGCTCAGTTGAAGCAGGGTGGGGACTTTCCCTCCTAATCCCCGCAGGCTGGAGGGAAAATATCTGCTGGGGGGGGACACAAAGCCAGGCGGGGACTTGCTCCAGCAGCACCCATGCCTCCCCCCAGAGCCCCTTTCCCTGCTGGAGGCTGAGCCCCGCCTCCTCTGCCCCCAGCACCTCATTGCTGCCTCCTTTCCCCTGCACCCAAGTGGGGTGGCTGCTTCCCCTTTGTCCTTGGGGTGAAAGGGGGTGCAGTCCTCCCCCCAGGTGCTGTGTAGGTGCGTGCGGGGGTGCTCCATCCTCTCCCAGCATGGGGAAGTGGGACATGGCACGGGGGCAGGATTGGTGCACCACAGGGTCACGGGGGTGCCTGCCTGGCTGAGGTTCCCCTTTCTGGCGGGTGTGGTGCCGGGGGGAGGTGGGGACAGCAGCGGGATCTGGGGAGCGTGTGTCACCCCGGGAAGGCGGCCGGAGCACTCGGCCAGGCGGCACAGAGGGGGGGCAGGGTGACCCCGGGGTGGCCCTGGCTGGTGGGACGCCTTGCACAGCACCCAGCCATGAGCAACCCACGAGCTCGCTCGGTGGAGGGGGAAATGAGTCACAAGGAAAGGAGAAATGAAGTGGAGGGCAAAAAAAAAAAAAAGAAATGGGCCCTCCCCAAGGGCAAGGAGGAGGTGAGGGGCTGCTGGCGGCTGTCTGGCTCCTTGGAGGCGGCTGGGGGGGGCTGACCCCATCCCGGCTGTAGGGACCCTGGGTGCCTCTCAGTCCCTGTATTTGGAGGCCGTGCATTGCACGGGGCTGTACAGAGTGGTGGCAGCTATTGTTCAGGAGGGATTTGGCATCCTGTGTTTCTTGAAGCTGCAGTTTTGAGAACAATGAGGTTTCCTGCAGGGGCTGGGGGGGGCAGCGGGTCCTTCCTCTCCTGCACCCCACAGGAAAAGTTACTGCGGGGGGGCCCAAGAGGTCCTGGCACCCCTCGGTGCCATGACTGGCACGGGGGCCAAGTGGGAGAGAGGTGGAGAAGGGTGGGTGTAAGGGCTTTGGGTGCTTTCTGCCTGCAGAGGGGTGGGGGACTGGCCTTGCTGCTGGGTCTGGAGGTGGTGGCTTGGTAGGTGACAGCTCAGGGATGTTGGCTGTAGTGTCCCATCCCACTTGCACCACCGTAAACTGAGCGCTGCCCTGATGCCCAGTACCCCACACTGGGGATGTCGAAGGCTGATCTGTGGTTTTTCCTTGTCACAAGGACACGGTGGTTTTTTGTCCCCCTCCTTTCCTGGCCTGTCCCTTTCCAGGCTCAGCTGGCACTTCTGCTCCTCTCCCCTGCTGTCTTGGGCGAGGGGCTGTGCAGAAAGGGTACAGCTCCCCTGCAAGAAATGCAGATAAATTAATTAAAAAATGAAGGCTTTCATTTTTTTAGTTTTAACTGAATGTTGTGGTGGGGCTGGGAGGGAGGCAGGGAGCCTATGAGGCCCCGGTAGCCCCTGTGAGGTGACTTGCAGGGCTGTGTGCCCCTGTCCTGCTCCCCAAGGTACCACCCGGTCTACCCGCAGCAGGAATATTGCAGGGATGTAAATGGGGAGAGGCCGGGGGGGAAGATGCCTCATTAGGATGAAGCCTTTCGGTGCGGGCGAGTAATAAACAATTGTCCCTGTGGTCTATTTATAGTGGCTGAGCTGGAGGATTAGTTGTGGGGTTATTTTTGGAGCAGATGAAGGCAGTTGCTGGACGGTGTTTCTGAGCTAATCAAGCAAACATTTTCTGTCTCGCCTGTGCAGAGGCTGTGTGTCCCCCGCCACCCCCATACCCCTCCGGCAGGGCTGGAGCCGGGGTGGGGTGTACTGGGGCACCATGTGTCTGGGGTGGATGAGAAAGGGCTTGTATTGGGCATCCCTGGATGGTATCCCCATGCCCTGGTACAGCTCCTACCCCCAGCAGCTGCCAGACCCCTCCCTGAGCACCTGGGGGAAATGGGGACCAGCAGCAAGGTGCTGTCTGGACCCCACTTTGGTTGGGGGGTGACATCGTCTTCCACACACAGCACTGACCCCGTCCCACCCCAGCAGTGATACGTCCCTGGGGCCACAACAACCACGGGCATCCTCGGCCCTGCAGCTGATGGGCTAAGGTCCCCGTCCCCCAGCTGTCCCCCCTCATCAGTGGGCCCCCCCATCCCCATTGCTCAAGGCCTTCCTGACCCCTCGGGGGGCTGACTTCTGTCCCTCCCCAAAAGCTGGGTTGCACTGCAAGCTGTGCATTTGTGAGAACTTTCCTTCCTACCTCCTCTGTCCTTTTATTTTCTTTTTTTTTTTTTTTTTTTTAACTTTTCTCTTTTTTTTTTTTCAAGCCCCAGAGGTCACTTGTAGCCCCGTCCCCAGGAGCACGCCCTCCTCCCCTCCCATTCAGCCTTCCTGCAGATCTGGGCTCTCCCCACTCCGGACCTGAGCAAACACGGGCGGGCCGGGTTAACCAGCGCAGCTGTATGCTAATGACCGCCGCTACCCGCTTAACTCTCCTTCGCTGAGTAAAGTCAACCCCGCTATTGTACCCACCTCCTCAAACAAACCACAAAACCCCAGCGCGTTCCTGGGCCGGCCGGCTGTGGGGTGGCACCCAATTTCCAGCTCACTTGTAATTCATCATCCCCAGCGCTCAGGCTCCATCTTCCCCCCACTGCTGCCTCCTGCTTTCCCCCCCCCCCCTCCCTGCACTCCCCCCCCCCTCAGCCCTTTTGTCTTTCTTCCTTTGCCCTTTTGTGCACGTCTGGTTTTTAATAGCGCTTGGCAGCTGGTTGTGGTTTCTCTCCCCCAGCTTTGTTTGCTGCCCGCTGATTGATGGCGATGCCTTTCCCACCCCCTGCTCTCTCCTGCTTCTCATCCCTCTCCAAATCCCAGGCCAACAACAGCCCCCCCCTCCCCAATCCTCCTTCCCAGGCGGCATATGCCAGGAATTAGCTGTGCAAATAGAGGAGTGCAGACAGGTGGGCAGCTCAGCTGCCTGGGGAGGAGGTAGGGTGCTGCCTGGCACCGTGGGGTCTGTGCTGGGGTGAGCAGTGAGGGACTGTCCCCTCCTCTGAGCTGGCAAGAGGCACCAGCTCAGCAAGCCCGGGAGGGGACAGGGAGCCGTGGGGATGTTGTGCAAGTGGCTGAGGATGCTGTTGACACAGGTGGGGATGCAGTTGGCAGCTGGTGCCACAGGGAAAACGCACCTGCGTGGGCAGGGATCGCTGCTGGGCGGCTGCTTTGGCATCCCCGGCCGCACGTGCCGGCTGGAGCCTGCAGTCCCCGCTCAGGTCGAGCCGCCCTCCACGCCTGCTCCCCGTCACCAACTCCTCTCCGGGCACCCGCCTCGTGCTGGGGACGGCGCTTGCGTTGCCCAAAATCCCCCTGCCTGCTGCTGCCCCGTGGAAAAGGCAAGAGGCTGAGGATGCTCAGCGTGGGTGCAGGGAGGGGATTGGGGTTTGCGCCCCGATGAGGCATGGCGTTGTGTGCCGTGTCCAGCTGGGATGTCTTGGCACCCTTCTTGGTCTGGAGCTGAGTGTGTTGAGGGGCTGCTCGGCTCTCTGGTGACATTTTGGGTTTTGGTGAGAGGGAAGAAGTCACCGTGGGCATCCTGGAGGGACTGATCCCTGGTGCTGCCCAGGGGCGCTGTCATATCCAGACCCACGTGGCCTCAGCCCTTTGGTCCTCAAAGGTGCCTCGTCTTCTCTTTCAGACCTTCATCTTCACGGATGGGGAGGATGAGGAGCTGAAGAAGCAAGCACGTGAGTCTGTGGCCCTTGTCTCTTTGCATGCGTGGCCTGAGCAGGTCCCCTAAGGAACCCCTACCCAGGGAGCGTGGCTGGCATGGAGCCTGCCCCAGGAAAAAATGAACAAAATGCCACTGATTAGACACTAATCTCAAGAGCCCTTGCCATAGCAACCTGGGCTGAGAATGAGGCAACTTGTTTCACTGATTGTGCCTAAAGCACCTTCTGCCTGGGAGCCCCACCTGGGGACAGGTTTCTTTCTCAGTCAGCCCAGCCCATCTGCTGCTCGATGCTGCTGGGGAGCATGCTGATGGGCTGGAGTGCCTTTGCACCAGTTTGTCCCTGGGGCGAGCTGGGATTGATGGGCAAGGAGGCCAAAGTTTCATGGGATCATTTCCCTGGCAGCCCTTCCCCGGGGCCAGGGTCAGTGTGGTCTATTATCCCCATGCGAATGACTCCTTTTCAGACTGGGAAGAGATCCCCTTTGAGCTGGGCGAGCAAATAACAGGTGGCCGCTGCAGGAAAAGGCAGTGGAAACAGGGCAGGATTTGGGCTGTCATGTCCTGGAGAAGCTGGCTCACAGACACCCCCTGACTCTCAGCATGGCTGATACGTAGCCCTGGGAAGGGGGAGGTGATGTAGGGTGGCATCATGCCTAGCACATGGGATACGGCTCAGCCCTGGCGCACCTGCTGCACCCACATCCCTTGCTCATCCCTTCCCTTATCTCACGTGAACCCAAAAGCCATTCCCCAAAAATTTCATTCTTGGCCCCAAATGATGTGACACGGGGAGGCCATTGAGCATCAGGGACACCCGTGGGGTTTCCATCCCCTTGGCACGCCTGGGGTGCGTGTGGTGAAGCGTCGCTGTTTGAGCGTGCAGGGAGGTGCGGGGTGCCCCGAGGTCGGGCTCTGACCCCCGTCTCTTCCCGCAGGAAATGTCATCAACACCAACTGCTCGGCTGCCCACAGCCGCCAGGCCCTGTCCTGCAAGATGGCCGTGGAGTACGACAAGTTCATCGAGTCCGGCAGAAAGTAAGCAACGCCTGGGGCTGCCACAGGGGACGGTGTGGCTCTACGGGAGGGGGGGGACACGGTGCAAGCAGAGGCTGTTTGCATTTTTGGGGCCGTATCTCAGCGTGGGGTCCGGGGAGCTGCCCTGGCCCGGTGTGACACTGCTGCCACCGCAGGTGGTTCTGCCACGTGGACGATGACAACTACGTGAACGTGCGGATGCTGGTAAAGCTGCTCTCCAGCTACCCCCACACGCAGGACATCTACATCGGGAAGCCCAGCCTGGACCGGCCCATCCAGGCTACGGAGAGGATCAGCGAGAACAAGATGGTGAGGGGGAAGGGGACAGAGAGAGGATGGGGCTGGCTTAATTTTGGCTGGGGTTTCCTCTGCCGTCGGCAGGAGGAGGTCTCACTGCCGTTGCTTCCCCTTGTCTCGCAGCACCCTGTGCATTTCTGGTTTGCCACGGGCGGAGCTGGGTTTTGCATCAGCCGGGGGCTGGCACTGAAGATGAGCCCGTGGGCCAGGTAAGAGCGTTGGTGTTGCTCTCCCGTGGGGACTCGTTATGGTCCCAGCGGGGCACAGAGCGGTGACATCTTTGGGGATGGACGTTGGACCATGTCCTACCACCTTGTTGTCTTTGCTGTGACTTGTCCGCAGGGGGCTTGGGAACAAGCTGGGAAGGGCTTTGGTTCCTCACGATTGACTTTTAATCAGAGTTGGGCACCCACTGGCCAAGCCCAGACCCTGTAGGGTGCCCATGTCCCCTGGGCTTTGCTCCTCTGCAGCCCCTCTCTGTCTCCCCGCAGCGGGGGCCACTTCATGAGCACTGCGGAGAAGATCCGCCTGCCCGACGACTGCACCATCGGCTACATCATCGAGTCCGTGCTGGGGGTGAAGCTCATCAGGAGCAACCTCTTCCACTCACACCTGGAGAACCTTCACCAGGTGCCCAAGACAGAGATCCACAAACAGGTACCCCTGTCCTGATGCTCTGGGGTGGATGGAGAGGCTGGGGTGAGCGGTACTGCCATCTGGTTTCATGTTGTCACCTAAAAATTGGGCATTGTGGCTAAGTTATTGATTGGCTTGCGACCAAAACACCAGTGGAGGGGGAAAGGCCCATCAACCCATCCCTGCGTGGTGATGCAGAGCGTGACTGGAGGCTTTGGGAAATGGGGTGAATTTTGCAGCCCTCCTCCATGCCCCTGCTCGATCCTCATGGCCGTGTCGACTGCTTGACCCCCCCCCCCCCCTCTGCATCCCCCCTCCAGGTGACACTAAGCTACGGCATGTTTGAAAACAAGCGCAACTCCATCCACATGAAGGGAGCCTTCTCCGTCGAGGAGGACCCATCCAGGTGAGATGGGGGGACCCTGTCCCCACCCAAGCTGGGGTGCGGTGGGGCTGCCGCCACCCCATGCTCAGCATCGCTCCTCTCCTCCGCAGGTTTCGCTCTGTGCACTGCCTGCTGTACCCCGACACGCCGTGGTGCCCCGCCAACGTGGTTTACTAGGGAGGCGTGTGTCCCCTCCAACCTCGTCCCGAATTTCCCCGGTATCCGACGGGCGTGCGGGACCTGCGTGCGGGTGTGTCGGTCCGGCCTCACCGCCAGGCGGACGGACGGACGGACGGACGTCGTTGCTGTGGTATTGCACAGTGTGTGTGTGTGTGTACTGAAGGCTGCTGTGCGGCCCCTTGTCCCCTGCCCGGCTGCCCGTGCCCGCTGCCTGCTCTGGCCAGGACAGTGGAGAGGGACGGGTCCTGAGCACTTAACCGTTGGGCACCCCCACAGCGCTGGTGGGCCCCACGCCATGCGTGGGGAGCGACCACAGGCACTGCGGGGCTCTGCCTCCCCCGGGCTTGCTTCTCCTGTTTTGTGTTGGGTTTTTTTTGTTTTGTTTTGTTTTTCCTTTCAAATTTTTTGGTGTGTGCCTCCCCACCTTTGCCTCTACCCCGCCCCTGCTCCTCATAACCCCTCACCGGCCCCATCCTCTCTCCCAGCCCCAAAATCTCAGCAGCAAAGCTCCAGCTCCCAATTCGGATGAAGGGGGACTAGTGAGTTTTGCCCCATGGCTCGCAGGCAGGCAGAGGGTGGGCAGGGGCAGCCTCCCGGCCCTGGCAAATGCTGCTCCAGGGTGCTGCAAAGCTACTGGGTGCTCCACGGCCACGCTGGATGGAGACAGTGGGGCGGGCTGCAAGCTGGCGTTGGCATTAGCTCCATTTCCTGGAGCACCCCCCCCCCTCCCCTCATCTGGCTGTACCGTTGCCAGCAGCATCGATCTATGCACTATTTATAGAGACTAATGTAAAGACTTTCTATAAATACGAGGGGCAGGAGGAGGGCTTTGCCAGAGCAGCACTGTGTTTGGACAGGGTCTCCCTTCAGTGCCGCCCTGCGCCTTTGTAAAGGAGCACTTGGTGGTCTGGCCGGGGGCTGTGTGGGGGTGTGCGTCCCCCCTCGCCCTCTGCCATGGGGCCAGAGCATCCTTCAGCCCTGGCCTGGCTGTAGGTGCTGCTGAGTGGCCGGAGAACCCGAGAGGCACCTGGCCAAGGGGGGGGCATCTGCCAGGGGTGGGCAGCATTTCCCAGCCTGGCTTTTGCTCTCTCCCTGCCAGGGAGGGAAAGACACTCCACATCCCCCCCCCAGTCACCCTGCCTGCCACCACCGGCCCTGTGCCCCTGTGGTAACTGGGCTGAGCCGGAGCTGAACGTTTTCAACCCAAAGCTGAGTGAAAATAGCCCATAATGGGTGCGTTGTAAATATGTTATTGCGCCAGTATTTTTTTTACTGTGCCTTTTTTTTAAGAAAAAAAAAAAAAAACACATGTTGAGAAATATGTAGATTTTAAAATGCTTTTTATACATTTTCTGTGGATCAGAAAAAAAAAATCCCCAACCTTTGATAATCTGTTTAAGAAAGAAAGAAAAAAAAAAAATGCGATGTCTTGTAACTATCACTTACCTTAATTTATATGTTCCAGTATCTGGAACATCACTTTGTGCTTTTTGTAACTAGGATGTGTTTAAAGCAATAGATGTGGGATGGGGAACCAGCATGGACAGCGTGTGTTCTCAGGGACTTGAACCCGATCGCTGCCACGGGGTTCCCGTGGGAGCCATCACCAATAAAGCAGCTTTTTTGCTGACCACAGTCACCTGGTCCTGGGCTCCGGTGTCTCTTTATGGATGAGCTGCGCTCAATACCCCTTGTTCCCCCCGCGGGTGGTATCACCTCTAACGAAGCTCTCAGGGATGCACCGAGGATGGATGGCGCCTGCATCCTTCTTTTTCCCACGGGTACCGGATCCGCTGGCCATTTGCAGCCTGGGGCATGGGGGTCCTCTCCTCCTTCCCCTCCCCAAAAGGCTCGGGCAGGACTTGGCGCCTCAGGCCTGGTTTTTCCCAGGCTCCGGGGTGGGAGCGGAGGCGGCAGGGATGAGGTGAGAGCCGGTTGTTAGCAGGGTGCTGTTAACAGCCGGCGGGCAGGCGTCTGCGTGGGAAGGTTGGGGGCTGTGGGGGGATGAGCCCCTTCCCTCCCAGCCCTCCCTTCGCCCTCTCCGTCCCCCTTTCAGCCAGCACTGAACACCCGCCTGCCAGTAACAAGCCCCAACTTTCATGGGCTGTGGCAATAACATCACCTTGGCTGCCACTCTCCTAAAACCAGCCCTGTTTGTGCCTCACCAGTACCAGCTTTCACCTGCACCATCCACTCCTCCCCCCACCTTCCTCCATACCGGGTGTCTTTGTTTTTTTTTTTTTTTCAAGGCACACTTACTTAGTTCACAGTTTCGCTTGAATCGCTGGGTTATCAGGGGTTGGCCTTGCTAAAAATACAACCTAGCAGGAAGTTGGCGTGTGCCAGAGCAGCAACTCCTCCTCCCAACACCCACACACCCCAGCCCTAAAAATCAAAAGTGCCCCCACCTCTGCAGCCCTTGGGCTGCTGCGAGCAGAGGGAGAGGCTCTGGATTGGAGCAGAACTGAGCAGCACCCTGACCCTCTGTCCCCCCCCCTCCCCAAAACCCACAGGCACCCAGAAAGATTCCCGGAGAAAGGGGAGGGTGGACAGCCAGCCCCGCAAAGCCACCACCCCGCAGCACCTGGGGGTTGGGGCTGGGAGCACTGGGTGGGGGCAGGATTTGGTGCCCCTTGGCCCCCGCGCAACGCGGGGTCAGTGGAGGGGACCTGCGTCAGGCGGGGGAAGCTGTGCCACCCGCCGCTCGCCTGCGTATTTTCCTATTGCTCACGGGGCTGAGGTTTCAGCAGCGCGGGTGCTTCCCGGCAGCGGTGCCGTCACCCTTTCTGCAGGCTGGCCCTCCCTCGGCCCCCCCCCACCCCGGGAGGGATGGGGAGATACAGCCAGGACGGGGCAGCACCCATCTCACCCCAGCCAGGGCTGGGTGCAGGGAGCCTGTTCACTGCAACACCAGGCCAAGCCTTGTGTTAAGCATCCACTGAAGCTCTGAGCAGCCAGGGGCTGTGACATGGGGCTGGGATGCCACTGCATGCATGGAGCAGCAGCGCCTTGGCAGGAGTAAAGGCTGGGGAGTGTGTGTGTTGGGGGGAGTGCCTTAAAAATTAAAATGAAAAGAAAACCAAAAAAAAAAAAAAAGAACCCACACCCAAAAACATCCCCCCTCCCCAGCTAAGCCTTTGGGAGCTGGGGCCCGCAGCACATCAGGCTCCCAGCCTCTCCCTCCTCCCTCCCTACTCGTGGGCTGAAAAGTAAATAAATACACACATTAATAAACAAAAGGAAAACAAAAGCAAAGCCTGCTGCTCTCACATACTTGGCGGGCTTGTCAGGCCAGCCCGCTTTCATCTGCGCCCCGGCGCTGTTGTGGGACGTCCTGTTTACTCTCGCCAGCTTGCGGCAGCTGATAAGGTGGCTGTACCTTTTGGAGAATGCTGGTGTGTGGCGGTGGGGTGGGGACAAGCCCAGCTTGTTGGGGACACTGCTGTTGTGTCGGGACCGCTGCTGTTGACACCATCATGCCCAAGGGATGCTCTGGTGCCGTGTCCAGCCAAAGGCTTTCCCGGGCCCTGAGTAGTTGCAGCATCAAGGGCAGAGAATAATACGCTGTTTTAATCCTTTTTGCTGCTCCCCCACCTCCTTTTTTTTTTGTTTGTTTTTTTGTTTTAATTTGCATTTGGGTCACTTCATATCCTGGAGTTTGTGTGAATCACTGCGTTCCCAGACTGGCTGCAGCACGGGAGCTTCGTGTCTCGGGGACTTCTCACTGGGGAGCCGTGTGTGCGCAGCGATGGGACGAACACCCGGCCTGGCACCGACAGCGGCGAGAAATATTTGAGACTCGGGGTGGGAGGGGGTGTCGGGAGACAGCAAAACTTGTGTGAATCGGCTCCAAGCGCCACTTCCAGCCGCTCTGGCCCAGCAAACTGGAGTATTTGTGGGAACGAACATAAAAGCAGCCAAATCACAGGGCCTGAGCAATGCACACAAAGCTCCAGCTGCAGCTCTGGGAGTTGCTCATCCCAGTGCTGGGACGGGAGAGCGCTGGGTCCCCATGGAGGCATGAGCTGCACCCCAGCACCTCTGTGCAGCTGGAGGCCACTAAATCCCCCACTAGCATCATCTGTCTTGGAGCAAGGGGCTACGAAGCCCTGCAGTAGAGAGCGATGGCTGTAGGCCAGCCGAGACACAGCGCAGGGGGGTGTAGGGCAGCACCTCCTCCCCTCCCCAAAACCACCTCCCAGCCATTGCCCACAGCCCCTTTAATTTTTCACCTTTTTACTATTTCTCATCCCTGCATCAGTTGCAGGTGGTTAAAAGAAATATCCTCCAAAGTTTGTTTTTTTTTTTTTTTTTTTTCTCTTCCTGACTTCTAAAACTAGCCTTGAATTGATCAAACCAAATTCCATACACACCCTCCACACCCGCCCTGGAGCGCCCAGCACCCGCTGCTTCTGGTCTGCCTCAGCCACCTGGCAGGGCCAGCTCTGCTCCTGTAGCCATTTGGCAAGCCAAAAGTAGAGGAGGAAATAAATTGAGCATCTTAAAAGCAGCTGGAAACACTTCCCATGGCACTGCTGGATGAGACTGGTGAAGCTGCAGCTCTGCTGTACAGCCCCGTTCCCAACCCCTCCTTCCTCCTGCTCAGCGGATGTGTCCCCCTCCACCCCCCCCCCCCAAACTGGGGTGGCTTCACTGGGCGGGGGGGGGAAGATGCCAGGTTTGTGCCTGTCCCTGCTGAGGGCAGAGGACTGAAAACAGCAGTGGCACAACAACAGTGTTGGGTGACGTTCTGACACCATCCACATCATCCCAAGGACCACCCCCTTATTTTAGGGGACACAGAATGGGCTGTTTTGGTAGGAATCCCCTTGGGGAGCGGGTGGCCGTGCTGGAGCAGCAGCGTTTGGAACAGCTCATGAGTGATGGAGTGATTTATGGGGTGCAAGCGCCAGGTCCCATGGTGCTCAGCTGGTGGGAAGAGGAAGCGGGCGGGAGAAGGGCTCCAGCACCAACATCTGCAACACCTCGCAGCGAGAAGGGAGCTGTGCTTCCTCCCACTCTCCTCCATGGACTGGAGAGTGATTAAAAAAATTCCCTAAACAGGGATTTTTTGCTGAGATCATGGTGAGAAAAGCTGCCTGCTCCAGGCAAAGACCTTCCTGCCTGCAAAGCCAAGGCACGCCGCCCTGCGGTCCCACTGGCAGCAACAGACACCAGCCACAGAAGGAAAAGTCCTTCTGCTCCCCACCACGCAACGGCACGATGACCGGCTGCTCCATCGTGGTGGCTGGACCCATGACCCGAGGTGGCCGCAGCCAGGCCACCCTCCTTCCCCGCCTGGCCACCTGAGCCAGGTGAGGGCTGTGGGCAAACGTGCCAGGTGGTCACATCCCTCTGGACCACAGGGCTGTGACCCACCAAGCTGAGCCTGGCCAGGCTGCAAACACCGGGGGCAGAGGAGCCCTGAGGCTGCAGCGTGGCTGGACATGGGCGCATCTCTCCCCTGGCCCCTCCTGTGGCTGCCTCTGCTTGCAAATCCTTCTGACTGCCAAGAGCAGGCTTCCAGCAGCCCCATGTGGTCAGAGAGATCAGAATCTCCCCATTCAGGCTTTTCTTTCAAGCTGAGGGGCCAGCGGGTGCTCAGCTCTCCGTCCTGGCCCCCCTCACAGTGCAAGGAGAAGCCACGACCTCCCAAAAGCAGAGGTGGTTCAGTGGAGTGAGATGGGGTCATTCCTCAGAGGCAAAGGTGCTTCAGAAGGGGTTAGAGAAGATGAGATACAATTTCAGCTGCTTCCCAGACACATGAGGAGTCAGAGTCCTGATGGCACCCTCCCAAAGAACCATGAATCCAGCTCTCAAGTGCACCCAATCAAAGCAGCTGGGCAGAATCAGGCTTCAGCAGCAGAAGCAGATGCTGCATGCACAGTGCCACATTCAGCAGAAAATATCACCCGTAGCCCAGGCCACTTCCCACCCCAAGAGGTGTCAGGAGATGGGGACGTGTAGCTGGTAAGTGCATCTCAGTGAGCACGCCGCAGCCACCAGTTCTGCCTGCCAGTTTTCCAGCTGCCAACCCACCGACAGCTCCCGGAGGCACCGCTCCTGTTAGCACAGCTCAGCACACCACAGGAACAAGTATGTTTGAAAGCATCTCCCTGGGGCATCCCTCCCCGCCTTATCTTCAAGGACAGAGATCTAACGGACCACTACTGAAGGCTGATCAGAAGGCAAGGTTTATTGAAACACATACTTCACCCTCCCCTCTGTTTTCCCCCAGCTCTGCATTGCTCAGGAGAGAGCCCTGCCCTGCTCCCACTGGGACAGGGAGTGGAGCAGCGGTGTGAGCAAAGCCTGTTGTGGTTGCTGGGCATGGCTGGATGGAAGGCACTGGGAAAGGTCACCGGGTGGGTGGACTTCACGTCTTCCCAGCCCTGGTGGGAGTCCATAAACCTGGTAAAATATTTACGTGCAGACTCTGATGGAGGCTTTATTTCCCTTTGTGCCATCAGATTCCCTTGACTGCTCCAAGCCCTTTGCACCAGAGAGCAGGCTTAATCATCTCAGCTCAGGGATGAAGAAGGAAAACATGGGCTCCTCCTTTAGGCAGAAGGAAAAAAGGGGAGGCAAATCTGTCAATTATTAGCGAAGGGAGGAAAACTGATGTCTGCTGAGATCCACAGCCATGAGGGTGAAAGGCACAGCAAGAAGCCCTCGGTGGTTCTGCACCATACCAACGGGCAGGACTTGAGCACATGGGTGTGGGTTTCAGCCATACAAACACACACAGCACTTAAATCCCCCTTCAGCATTAACAAAGTTAAATTATTGCTTAATCCAGTCTGGCCTTCCAAGGGAATGGGACATACCTGTGAGCACACGCTGCCACGGGGAGTGGGGCAGGACCAGCGGCGTGGAGGAGGAGGGTGGCCGGGAGCTCAGCTCAGGTCACAGGGCTGCAGGATGAGGTCCCCTCTGGGGGCCCTTCAGTCTGGCTCTGCCACTTAGCGGTGACATCCAGGACCGTCAGCCTGGTCCTTACAGCATCACTGGGTAGTCTGGGAGCCTTCTGTTTTAACCCGCAGTCAGATCAAGAGCAATCAGCCCTGCTGGAGCTATCTGCTGTCAGCAAGCCCTGCCGAGGGGCTTCTCCACAGCCCTTCCCACCCCACAGTTGTTTTCTCTTCCCCCAAAAGACCCACGCTCCCACACGAGGAGCTGCTCCGCTCCCCCAGCCCTTGTCCCAGGGGTCAAGTTGAGGCGCAGGGGCAGCCGGCGATGCTGTTGGGTTTTACCGCACTTTGGTGGCAGGGAGTTTCCCAAAGACCCACGGCTGGTAAGGGATGGGCTGAGGCTGGGGGCAAGAACAGCACAGGACGGAGGCAGGAGACCAATCCCTCGATCTGACTGGCAGAAAAGAGATCAAGAGAATCACAGGAAGGTAAAGAGTTTAGTTCACTACTTGATAGAGATGCGGCAAAGTGGGCCTGTGATCAGAGAACAGTATGAACACAGAACTAAAAAGAAACCCACGATAGCCTGGGGCAGAGCCGAGTAGGATGAGCCCACGCTGAGCTTCCCCCGGCGCCCCATGTGATGCTACCGAAGGCACGTACATACATTTCATCTCCTCCTGAAGAGGGATGCCTTCGCAGTGGCTGAGCTGGTGGGGTACCTGCCCCCTCCCGTTCCATTTTGCCCCACTATTTGTCCTTCTGCCGGTGACAATGAACCGCTTGTGAACGCAGCAGGGGGGGCCTCAGGGAGGGTATCCCACACCACGGCCCTGCGCACAGCGTGACCATCTCCAGGGGCTGATGTCCACATCCCTTGGCTGCTCCAGCTTCCCGCAGCCCCCGGTATGAGCCCGGCCCCGTGCCCCTGTCCAGGCTCCCCCCGGCAGCCCAGCTCCAGGCTGCTCGGGATGGGTACAAGCCACCTCGTTTCTAAAGCACAAGGAAATGTCCACATCCATCATCTGTCTTCAGAGGTTCTTTTGAAGCTGTCCAATTCAATCTTAACAGTCCAGTCTTCAAACTGGGTTAGAAATCCCAAAGTCTGGGATTTCTAACAGCAACCAGATCAGGTTGAGACCTACAAGCAAAGGACAAAAGCAGCCCTGCTCGGACCTGTGCACACAGTTCATCTCACGTAGCAGGACCGACACCAATAATTCTGTTTCTGTGGTACAGGGCACTCGCGTTCATATTCTTTTCACACTCGACTAGCTATTAGACCTTATGGCTCTATTGCCCATCCTCACTTCACAGATCTACCACAATTTATGAAAGGTAACAAAAATTCAGGCAGGTTTATGAACAAGGGAAGAAAAAAAAAAAAAAAAAAGAGAGAAAATACGAATCACTAAAAAGGAACAGTGGTTTTAAATCGTTTATTTTTAAAACATGAAACCCAAGCTGAATAGAAACCACAGAAATTACATTTAGGTTTTTTGTTTAGTATTTGCAAACCAAAAAGTTACAGTAAAAAATAGCTACATTACAATCAATAGAACTACAGAATTAAAAGTAAAGATACAAAAATGGGCTCAATCCTCTTTAATCCTCACAATTTAAAAACGTTTTGGGTAAGTGCAGGAACACTCGAAAGAAACTAGCAGGTCCAAAGTTTTAAAAAAAATTATATATATTTATATATTATATATGTATATAAAGTGGTATGATATACAACCATTATGGTTAAGAAGAAAAAACAGAAAAGTTACAAAAAGGCCAGGTACATGTTCACCATTAGGTTTCTGTGCACAGTGTCCAAGAAAATAAACTTCCTTCTGAATGATGTGAATAAAACTCATGGGGCCTCCCATTAACAAGGGACCTGAGGCACACGACATGACGGCTGGGCAGTTGGACCCAGTGCAGTGGACAATGAAGGAAATGAAGCTTTTCTGGGACTTCAGTGGCCTCCTGGGCAGAGGCCACTGGAGAAGTCTTGGTGTGAGATTAAGGAAGGGACAGGAAGGAAGGAGTTGGGAATTGCATAGTGAGGAGCAATGTGGTATCAAATATGCAGAGCACCTAAGAGCTTCATGCTACAGTTATCCTCTTCAGGAAAAGAATTTTTTGAACTTTCTGGTTGTACATCAATTTATGTTCCACTTTGTTCATGCATGCAGCCACAGGGATGGGGTGAGCACCCAGGAGCTCCAGGCCACCAGTAACCCATCCCTTCTCTCTCCCAGCTGGGCAACACGCTCACCATCATGGCTCGGCAGGAGAACCTGCTCTCCCTCCCGAAAGCACAGATCACTTGCTACCACCTAGAAACTGCTACCAAAACATCCCACGCTTCTGCCGGGCCTCCTGCAATGACTAGGGAAGCCATCCATAGCATGCACACAAATAATTTCTAAAGAAGGGGAGTAGGCTGTGATGAAAGAAGCCACCTTGTTAAAGGTCCAGATTAAGTCAGGTCTCTTCTCTCAAGGCATTAGATCTACTCCTTGGTATCTCCCTGGAGGGCTTTTCCCCTCTCACCCAGAGATGTTCACGAGTTACACCAACAGACTTGTTGAGTTGGGGAAGACCTTAGCTTCTCCTCAGTCCCTAGGTAGGAAGTACTTCAAAGGCAACTCCTCTCCCTAGCTAAAGGAAAACCCACCCACCTCATCTACTCAATCAGGTGGGGTGGCCAGAATCAACAAGCCAAGACACCTCTCCTCTTCAAAGGGCTCAGCATGGTATTTCAGTTGCTGCTAGAAGGAGGAGAAGGCGGGACCAGAAGTGAAGCATGGGTTTATCCACACGGGTACCTGTCTGCTATCGCCCTGCAGCACCCAAAGCTCTCACGAGCGCTGGCTAAGCAGCCCCCTGAGAAATGGTTTACTCTCAGAAAGGTCAAACTTTTAATGTATTTTGAGGGAACTGCCACGTAAATCCTGACTTAGGTTCACTTAAAACCCCCATGCACTGTGTCCCCCTCAAAGCACTCAAATGAACATCCTTGCATCTTGGCTGAGATGACTGTACACGGAAAATTAACATCTATCAAATGGAGAAAACTTAAAAAGGACAGGAGGGGAAGGGAGCACTCCATCCTTCACATTTGGATACATGGATGCACGCTAAAAATCTTAGCTTGAACCCTTTTATCAGCACATAAAATGAACTCAGTTTAATAATACATACAGGATACAAACACTACAGTTATATTCCCAAGACAGCACAAGAAATTCACAGCCAAGTCTTGATTCGATTTCCTTTACAATTACAATGCAGTCTTGAACACTGGACAGAAGAGTCCAACATGCTATTTACATTTCACATTGTGGAGATGTTCGTGTGCTTGGAAGAGTTCTCAGTTCCAAAAGAAAGTGTCATTCATACATGATGATGCAGTGGAAATAAACCAAGCCAACCAGACAAGCCAATGACCACATTTGTGCTTCTGAAAAGTAACATGAAGTGTCTTCACCAATGCAGTCACCTTCAACCAGACAAGCTGCCTTCCATTTTGCAGCCAGCGAGGTGTCCAGAGGCCAATCGCATCTCCCCTGAATTCTGGACCCTTGTGCTACCAACCAGTAACATGACTAATGTTCCAATCAGGTCAGCCGGGACACACCAAGTGATATGGCCTTGGCATTTTGTCACATTAAAAACAGAGCGACACAATGGAAGAGAGAGAAGTCTCTACTGCTTTACCTCCTACAGCTTGAAGAGTTTGGACTCCCTCAACCATGAATGCCATCTAGAACAGATGAGTCTTTGCCAGATAGCACCTGCTGTTCACCCGAGAGGGAGGCACAGAGTCTGGGAGATCTTGGCTGTTAAAAGTCCACTCCTCAGACAAAATGTGACCATATGGATGAGACTGATTATGTCGCAGCCATAAGAATAGGCAAAGGCCATCTGTTCTTCAGCAGATCTGTTCAGACCAGCCTGCAGAAATGCCACACTGTTGCTCAAGGTTCCAGTAAAAAAAAAAAAAAAATTAAAAAATAAAAAAAAAGAAGTCATAATAATAAACCAAAAGAAACCCATTTGTCTGTGTTTCCTATCCAGCGCTCTGCACAGCATGCAGCGGGGCAGCAGAGTTCCAGGATGCTTTACAAAAGTGCAATATCCATGTCAAGTAAAGGAAGTGCTGGCTGGACAAAGGTACACAGCTCACACTGCAGTCATGTTATGCTGGCCTCCAGAGAGCAAAATGTTATCTCCGTAACATTCTTTCCAGTTATATTTCGGAGTCACAGAGCACATATCTTCACGTGCGCCTTGCTGCAAGCCCCAAACATTGTCAGAAGTTGTTCTGGGTGTTATGAGTGGCTATGCCCAACCTTGGAAGGAAGCAGGTCAAGGTGGCTGCTCCACTAGATGCTGCAAACAAAACCATATTGGCTCCCTCTCCCGTTATCCCTGCTGGCACAGCCAATACCAGTGTGACAATTTAGATCCAACCCGAAGTGCAGTCACACGCCTGTTCAGGATGCATTTTGAATACGAAAATTCAATATACAGAAGCACTTGTTTTCACACCCTCCAGCCTTCAAAACACTTGCCTTCAATGAGTAGGACCAGGCCACAGATTTTAGGGCATCTCCCCTAAAATTGATAGTCTAAGTAGCTCTAAGTAGCAATCCGAGTACATCCTTGCAAGGAGAGATGATGGCAGAACAACTCAGTCTTAATAAGGATTATATGGCTCTTGCTTCTTTCTTCAAAGTGAGGGGGAGGTTCAGTTCCCCCGATAGCAGTTGCGTGCTTCGGGCCCTGCAAGCTAACCATGCCACATGCTTGCACACCCGGGTCTCCTGGTAGGCTTTGAGACAGGGTGGAAAACCTGGTGCTCATGAGCCACAGTGGTCCTCCATGCCATCTGTGACTACATTTTCCCTGCCCTTGTTACTTGATAACACAGAGGTATGTTTCAGTGTGAAGCCCATCAAACATGTCTGAAAGGGCATATTCAGTCCTGAGCAAGAAAATCCTGCTGCCAGAGATTTATGGTGAAGTGTGAAGTTTTCTCCAAAACCTTCTCTTCCTGTCTGCATGGCGGTGCCTTCTCCCTGTCTCCCTACCCATGAATGATAATAGCTGACCTACAGCTTTTGCAGTCTCTTAGTGGTTTCTATCTTAAGAGGAGTCTCAAAGCTTGCTCCTCCACAGAGCTGGTACCATTTTACAGCAGATACCATCATTCTAGTTAGCCACCTGCTAGGAGCAATTCCTACCTCACTGCAAGAAGGCAACTGACTTGAGTAAAGGCAGATTGGTAGATTCTGTGCCCCGTACAGCAAACGTGGGGTAAACAGATACTGAGTCTGAACATCACTGAGGTGAAGACTAACTGCCTCTGCCAATGGCTCAACTCTAGTTTGAGACACATTTCCCACTATTTCCTCTGCCAGTTATTTGATATAATGCTTAGCAGCTACACTAAGATGCCCCTGCTCAGAGGTAAAAAGACAAAAAGGAACATCATAGTTACCCTACTGAAAGGGCAGTACTTAACAGTACCTCCCAAGAGGCAGTCTCCTCTTGCAGTAGGAAGCTGTCAGTGCCCTTTGGAGCACTACTCTTCAGTGGAAAGTACAGCACCAATGGAGGATGTTGCCCTTTGCAGGCACCCAGCTGCCCCTTTGCAAGCTTTGTTCTGCCTTATGTCTAGAAAAATGCCTTACATGTGCCTTAATATGGTCAGATAGTGGTTAGCAATGTGCCTTGAAAAACAAAATGAAATAAAACAGAATAAAATAAAAACCTCTTCTGACAGTCACAATATTCTCCAGATGTCATTTGGGTTTCTGACTCTGGAACACAGAAGAAGATACACTGACAATCTTGCGGTTTGTTAGGACTGAGGCTCCAAAAACCTCCTTCAATGCCAGTTCAGCAACCCTGTGCTGTAAATTATGGTTAATTAAAAAAAAAAAAAAAAAGGAATAAGAAGTCCAGCAGAGTTCACAGGTCACTCCTGCAGGGAGAGCTTGCATTTGCTATAAATCCATTGGTGCTTCCAGTCTCTCTTGCTTTTGCAAGCTGACTGTCCCATAAGATCTAGCATCAGAGAGCTGAAACTCTTTAGTGCAAAAATACACACGCACCCCCCCACACCCCCCAAAGTCTTACAAGTCTTTTCCTGGAAAAATTTGGCACCAAGTGGGTGGCTGGCTCCTGTTTCATCTGAGTGTCGGCCTCATAAAAGGGCAGCACCCAGAATGCGATCTGCAAGTACCTGGGCTTCCCTGATGGAGCAGAGAGGTCAGGTTCAGAGCAATGGACAGGGTAGTTGACTGGTACTGGGACCTGCTGCTCCTTCTCAAGAATTCACATGCTAAATATAGTGGGAAAGAAAAAGGCATTTTCTTAATTTTTTCTTAATATTAGGTTGTTTTTTTTTTTTTTTTTTTAAAGTTAACCAGGGTAATGGAATGGTTTGCTCTAGAAGAGCCCCAGGCTCCCAAATTACAGTGGATGTGCACTGACACCATGAGGCAGGAGTCTCCCTTCTTCCTCACACAGAGCACCAGACCAGAGGACTCCCACCAGAAAGCTGCATTGTGCACTGACTCAGCATCCCCTCGTTGTACACTAGTCATAGACACCAAGCCTCTGCTTCTTCAGTGTTTGACAGACTGCTGATTCCACTGCACAAGTGAAGAAGATCTACCACCATCTTTCACCGAGTCCCTCTGGGGAACAGAAGGGGAAAAAAGGGGGCAGAAGATATTCACCAACTTTTTCTGGTAGGCTACTCTAATAAGTTGGCCCCCAGGAAGGTGGACCCAGTTTCTTGCCTGGGTGCTCCCAGTTGCTTGCCTGCACGTGCTTGCTGCCTCTCGCACATCAGGTACAACAAGGTGAAGGCTTAAATTCAAAAGGGGCTTCCACTCCAGTAGGCAGGTACCGGGTTGGAGGGGTGGTCTGGACTGGAGAAACAAAAGGAGCTGCACTGGATTTTGGGCAGAACAGCAGGATTGTTCTACGAGGACAGCACAGGGGCACAGCAGTTGGCACATTGTTTAGTCTGACTGCACGTGTGGGTTTTGTTTTTTTTTTTTTTTTGCTTTTGCTTTTTCATTTTAATGCACACTGCCAGCATCTGGACGAGGTTGGTTGGTGGCGAGGTATTTGGCTCTCATGCTGGAGGTGTACTGGAGGAAGACAAGACAAAAAAAAAACAAAACAAAACAAAACAAAAACAACACAAACAAAACAAAACAGAACAGAAAAGTAAGTCAAAATGACTAATGTAAACACAGAACCACAGATTATGACCACCTCCCAGCATAAAGCGGTCTGTATTTGCAGCAAGCATATCAAAGAGCTGCTGGCTCAGTCTGACAAGGAAAGTTTCACAAGTCAATGTGTAGTCCACTCTGAGTAACATACTGTCAGCCTGCTGCAAGAATGCTGGCCAGGTCAGTACAGATGGGCTAATCACCGATCCAAGCTCTCTACAGAGAAGAAAATCCAATAGTCATTGAGCTGATATATGCCATACTTCACTTGGGAGCAGAGAGGGAAATGGAAATGATGCAGATGTAAAAACCCACCTCACCCCTTCATCCTCTCTTAGGCATGTTATTGCTTTCAACCATGCCAGAAAAGGAGGTTGAAAAGAAAATGGGGCCACACTGCATTTTTACACTGCATTTTATGGCAATGAGGGCAGAAGACTGCATGCATCACAGATGGGCAGTTTGAAAGAAAAGTGTGGAAGAATGAATCTCTGAACAATTTACGCTCAAGAAAGATCAGACCCTGTCAGGCTGGAAACAGACTGCCATCAAACAAGATAATATTAAGCTAATAGTTATCAGATGGGTAATAATTCACTGCAGTTTGGGATCCAACCTGTGTACTGTGCAGTTGTAGACAGGGATCCAGCTTGGGGACGAGAAGAGAAAGTCAGAAAGATGAAAGGTGGTTTTGGGGGGTTGTTTTTTCTTATTTTATTTTTCATTTTAAGCATGGTGATCCAAAACAGCTCCCAGAAGCTACTGAGGTAACATATGCCATTCAGCTTTGAACGAGGAGCTGAAAAGCATGTAAATAATACCCAGCAGTAAGAAAAAAAGACTTTGCATCTTTGTGCTAATGTGTTCAATGCCTTCATCATGACCACATTACTGCTTCTGGGATTCTGCTACCATGATACTAACAACCAAGCAATGAGGACAGACATTTTATTTCTCTTTTTATACCAGCTGGAGCTTGAATAATTCTGTAATACCCACATCTTACTTCCCAAGAGTGCTCTTCAGCATACTGACTTTTTATCACCTTTAAAACTGAACCACATAAAATAGCCAGTTAAGCTGGCAAAGAGACAACTGAAAGGCAGTTCCTCACCAGGAGGTATGGTTTATCTTGCCCACTGGGAAAGAACATTATGAGGCATCTTTAGGCTTTCAAAAGCTCAGCTGTCCAAAGGGATTTTCAGAGAATTAACAGTATTTTATCAGTTTTCCTTCAAAGACTGACCTGGGCTGAACCCCTGTACAATAGAAGAGACAATCTGCTCCTTTAGCAGTGCTGACCCCATTGGCACAAGATGAAGACACCTGTGGCTTATTTGCACACTCATCTTTTAGTGTCTTCCATAATTGGAAAACTTTCTGCAGAACATGGATCTTAATATAAAACTCTGGCCCAGAAACGGCATCTATATTTAGAAGACAAAAGGTACATCTGTTCTTTCTCTTTTTAAGATGTATTTTTTGTCAGTGAGAAGGAAAAAGGTAGAAAATACCGTGCTGAGCCAGTTTAAGGACTATATGCTGTAAGGTTTATTAAATGTGATTACTGTTTCAGAAATAAAGTTTAGGGCATTATTAAAGCATATGAAACTAACCCAACAGGCTCAGAGAGGCTTAGAAGTCAAAGAACTTTCTCAGAGAGTAAGTAGGGCACATTTCAGCTAGTGCAATGCTGAAATTACCAGCCAAACATCATGCTAAGAAGAGGGTCTTCAAAGGATAAATGCATTTGATTGCTCATTTTCCATTTATATTCTGTATGGTGACATGTGATAGGAGATGAGTATGAATAAAGAGCTTCCAGGTGCTAAGGTTTTGTAAGAAGTATTTAGAAAAAAAGTCTCAGACCATGGAAGGTTATTGTGCATCTTCCTGGACAAGTCATATAGGTTTAGCACACAACATGCAACATCGACTTTCTTTAGAGCATTAAAATCAAGAAGGGCCACTTGATGAACTGCATTTCAAAGATGTACAAAGTACACCCATCACAGAAGAAAAAGTCGAAAAGAATTCACTCCTTCCTCCACCAAGAAAACACCCCACAGTTATTTAAGTGTCACTAAAACAAAGTAATCAGGAACACAAGGTTTGGACAGTCAAATAGAGGGCATTTTACATTCAAACCTACCTGCAATCCACCACAAGGAACAAATCAAGACTCAGAGTAGTCAGAGTTAGGGCTGATGTTCTCTCCTTAACTCAGGATTTTTGTACCTTCGTACCTTTTCCCATTACAGTTTGAACCAGTTACTCCTTCTGTTAAAGTGTATTTTTAATGATCACGATAAGTATGATTGAAACCTGGAAGTAGAGCACTAACACTTCACTGCGCACCTCTCATAATGAGCACAGCTCTATCAGTGTGCACTGGATCTCCAGTCACTGCATTTGACTCCATGTACAAATGCTTTGCTCCACATGCTGTTGACAGTAGTTCCTCGGTCAAGTCCTTCAGTGCATCCTCTGCTGGGAAGCAGAAGAAAGATGCTGTGGAATACACAGATCTCAACATCTGGAGAGGCCAGCAGATGAAGATGTATCAGCAGACACTTGCCAGTCACATATATGAAACCAAACTATATTACCCATAGTTAAATAACTAAGCCTTTAGCTCCTTTAGAAGTACCCATGTACCTATATACCCTCATTTATCCTTTCAAAAACAGCATGGAGGACAATTTTCAACCCATACCTTCACCACACTGTCAGCTACCCTAAAAAGAGTACCTAAAAAGACTTCTTGTTACCCTATCTCCTGGTGGCATGTGCTATTGAACACAGCACACCTCTCAGTCACTGACCAGTCAGCTAGGACAAACACAGCTAATTGCACATAAGTTTATTTTTGTATTTCTCCAAAGGAAAAAAATAAAGTATTTCCTTCACATTCAGCCTTGTTAAGGGTATAAAATTTCACAGGTATGGTTTGCCAGCACATACTAGTTACGTGCTTAATACATATAGCCTGTGTACAAAGAAATCATTGGTTGCAAATGAAATAAAATAAAATTTATAGGAATAATTGGTTAATTTTAGACACCATAAATTCTACCAACTCCTGTGAACTGTGCAGACCGCGAGTACTTCACAGCTAATTGAGCTATGCCAGAAGATTACTTACCATATGAAACCATGACTCCAAGTATAAACCATTTACTATTTGTGGTTAAAAACTTCACATGTATCTCTCTTCAGCTACCCTGACTTTGATTACCTGCCAGAACTGTACAGGTAATCCAATAAAGACCAAAGCTTTTGGATTCAAGTTCTTAAAGGTTTATCCATCTCTCAAATAGCTAGAGCACAGTAAACACACAGGGTTTGGTATCATTATATATAGGAGGTACAAGATGCAGGGACACAGCCAATTCCAGCCAGTGGGTTCTGAATTCAAAGGGACTTAAGTTTTCCAAGTCAAAAGAACAGAGCTTCTGTTTGTTTTGTTTGTGTTTTGAAAGCCTTGGAAAGAATGTAATGCCTTTCTCTTAGCCCTGCAGACAGCCACATTAAACTCTGGGTGCGACCTTAGATAAACAGAAGACAGTGCAGACTGAGATCAGGTCATGTTTCAGCCCTGAGGAGGTTTCAAGTCCAGAATGAAGACACTAGAATTTCCCCCCCAACAAGCAGTATTTTATTTCATGGAATAGACCCTTCTAACATTGCTACAATACCACCTGCAGGAACCACAAAGCAGAAAAACCACCATAAGCTGACGCCCAAGAGCAGTCCTTGCAAGACTTAAGACTGAAGAAAGTTGTGACCCTTTCACAGGTGCTAGCACCATGCTTCAAGGCAAGTTTGTTTGCATTCATGCACCACGGCAGAGGGCATCAGGACACCCAATTCAGACAGCACCCTTCCCAGCACGTCACAAGGCAGGCAGACAAACGGCAAGGGGCAGCAAGAATGCAGACCAAGCAGCAACATGACAGAAAGGAATCCAATGCAAGGCTGACAAAAGCCCCAACAAGAACAGCAGAAAAGGAGAAACAGCAGCTTTATGGATATGTATTTCTGGGAACAGAATGTAAGATACGGGTCATTGATTGTATGAGTCAAAAGCAACGAGCCCTCTGTTCCAACTGGAACCAACACTTTCCAGTTACTGCATGACTGTAGTTCCCTTGAAGGAGCACTGTCCTTCATTCCAGGTGAGTTGCCTGGTAGCTCTGATTATACCCTTTACTCAACCAAGTTAAAAAACTACAAGGCCTAATGCAGACCACCTACTCTTTCTGTAGGCATGTGGTTTTGTCATGGACCACTGCGAGGGAAGAAACACCAGCTATCTTGGAAAACATCAGTGAGTACAGCCCATTAGGAATTCAGACAGTGAAATGGTACTAGGAAGGCCCCGTTCACAGAGCCTGTGGGACACGGATGGGATGATTTGGACACACAGAGAACAAACAAAACAGTAAAAGGTTTTGAAACAGAATGAAACAGATCTTAGTGCTTATGTCTGGACCTTAGGGAAGTTTTAAAAAAACTTGCTCCTTTCTAACTTGAAATGCAAGGATAAAAGGAGAAGCTGCACAACAGGCAATGAGGTAACTCTTTGGGACAGGCCAGAACTACCAGCTCTGATCTTTCAACAAATGAAAAAATCCTACTGAGGAGCTAAAAGCTTGCGCAGGTAAGTATCACTGGTTTCAGGCACATGCTTTTATGACCAGTCAAGACAAACAGGATAGCAGTAGGGCTTAAGGGAAGCCAAAAGCTGAATTAAGACAACCAGTCCTGACTGAAAAGCTGATAAATTGGTTCTCCTTACTTCTAGTAAAAAGCTTCTTGTGATGGGAGATCTATTCTGCATTTGAAGTGCAAGGTTAGTTCTACATTTGAGCAGCACTCAGTACTAAGTGTTCAAGCTGTTCTTAAGTGTGGGCTCTGAGTTGAAGCTGCTGTGAGTTAGCTTTTGAGAGGCATGGGCGCCTATAACCCTCACAACGTGCACCAGAATCCTTTACGAGGTTGATACTGCTCCTTGAGTCTGCACCAGAGCAATAACTGATTTTAATTTTAACCCTTGGCAGGAGGGAATGGGGTGGGAGGTGCAGAGGGAAGGAATGTGAAGAAATAAAGGCACTGGCCTGGGATAAACAGTGCAGGGATGAAGGGAGTGGTTGGGAGTGGAGAAGGGGTTGAGCAAGAAGGACCTTTTTTCCAGTACCTGTTCCATTTGCGGGCGCTGTTACCAGTATGTCCGTGCACTGTCCGAGGGCTTAAGCTGCCAGCTCATATGGCTGCTACTGTCCATGGCAGCCAAATACAACTGTGATGACGCAAGAAAGAGAGAGAAAAAGAGAGTGCAGCCTCAACGTGCATGAAAAACACAGTGCAAGCAAGTGAAACGCTGTGGTGTGTGTCAGTGACAAGGTGGGCTCTACAACCCTAAGGGAACAGCCCTGTGGCAAGAAGGAGAAAACAGAAGGAATGAGAGAAGGAAAAAAAAAACAATCAAACAAACAAAAAGCCAGGAAAAGTAACGGACAAACAATGCAGCAGGATCATCACATCTTAGTTTTCACCATCTGTTTACAGAAAGCTAAATGGAATATATCGGCTCTGTCCACCCACTGGACATAACCTATTCAAATGGTTATCCCCTTCTCCTCCCTCACAAAAAGAGGCAGGGACACATGCATTGGTATTCCCTTTTCATCTCTCTCCACCCACAGATGATTTGCTAAGAAAAGTTACAATTTCTTCTGCCTCTGTATAGTCTCAGCCACCTGCTATTGAGAGCTATGAATACAAATATCCCAGAAAATCCCCCTTCCCTGCTGCCTGCCAATGTAAGAGTAGACAGTATTTTTCTTCTCTCTACTGCCCGTCTACTACATCCCTTCAGAAAACACATTTTTATCCTACAGCCTGTTCTCCGCCTCGTCTAGGGAGAAGCTCCCCTTGCTTATAGGTGCAGCACTGCACTCTCCTCCTCCCCCAGCTCTTGCGCTTCCCTATATTGATGTCTGCCAAGTCAAGTTACTCTGAAAAAAAAAAAAAAAATCTCATCTTTATCTACTCTCAGAAACCAGCCTAAGGCACCAGGACTCAGATCCCCGCTCAGGGTATTAACACAAACAGCTACTGAAGAACCAGGGAACTTGTGCATGACTAAAGCCCCTGCAGAAAGGAGTGTGCTTTCTCTGAAGCAGAAGAGCTGTAGGGCAAAGGGAAGCAGGACCTTGGTCTACAAACACTCCACGAACATATGCCTTGGCAGTACGAGAGGGACAGTGCCCTCTCCTACAACAGGAAACGCCAGTGGTAAAGCATGGGCCACACTGTACTGTGTGCAGCACATCAGCCCTTCTCCCGAGGACTGTCTTGTTGCTGAGAGCAGATAACGCTACCAGAGCTTGCGATCAGAGTACCACCAGGGATCGGGAAAAGCTCTTTGTGAAGGTTGGAAGAGGTCTGGCCAAGTACAGACACACAGATCAGCTCTCCACTTTTCCGCTTTCTCTACAGCAAGATGAACTGGTCCTTCTGAAGTGAAAACATGAATGTGATGTCCTCTTTTCCACCACAACTCCTACTCCTTCATCCTCCTCTTCCTCCCCCCCTTCCCATGAGTTTGAATCATGCACCACAGACTGTATTTTCTTTACCTATACCTGGAGACTGGTTGGTTATTAAGCATGCTACTACTCATCCTTTGTAATCACACCACCAAGTTAGTGAGCACTGCGATGGCATGTTCTCCAAGTTCTGGTGTAAGTAAGGCTTACAGGATCCAGTGAAGGAAGGCAAGATTCACCTAGTTCTTACACAGACACGAAGGAAAGCCCATGTTTTATCCATCATACAGAAATGGCTATCAGGCCACTCCAAATACCAAAACCTTCCATGAAAGTTTTTTTTTTTTTTCCTCCATAGGAAATTAAATTCAAAAATAGATTCTAAAGAAAGGAAAACAGTTGTGAAAGAAAGATTTAAAAAAAAAAAAATCTCAACAAAAAAATAATACAGGTTTCATCCTACCATCTCTTTAGGGCAGATTAAGGAGAGAGGTTCAGCGATAACTCTGAATTTACTGTTTTAACAAGCTTCTTTTTAAACTTGAGGAACCAATGCCACAGATAGCAAGTACACTGCATGCAAGTGAATCATCCTGCTGAAGTCACCCACCAAGATACTCATGCACTTCAGTGGTGGCAGGACTGGGCCCATAGGATTATTAATGTTAACAGATTGAGATTTATTCTTTTTATGTGCAATGTCGAAAGTAGCGTAACAGGGTTTTATTCTCCATGGCAGGTGAGACATGACTTGTCTATTCAAATTGCTGCCATTTATGGGCCAGATCCTGTGTTTGGCTGCACAATCAGCTCCCTTGAGAGTATACAGGAGTGGTAAACATGTATTCCCCAAAGTTGCTGAAGCAGAGAGGAGCAGTAAAGAGAGACTTACTGAGGGAGGTGGGGACTCCCGGCCAATGAGCGGGGTATTCTCGCAACGGGGGTTCTGGAAATTTGCATTCTGGCTCCTAGGAAAGGAAGACACACATGGTAACAGGGGGTATGTGCCATGCTACTCTGGGGAAGATCTCCAACGATGACATGGGACAGAGCATACGCACCCCCAGAACTACCGTATCAGGTCAGTCTCCCTCAAAGCTTTTCTTACAGGCCAGGTGGATCCCTCTTTTCAGACGAGGGCACAAATCTAGCATTATTTTCCTCAGATTGAACACTATCTTTACACTCTTACTCAGAAGGGCCCGCACTGAATCATGTCAAGTGATTTAAAAATAGGTCTGTGTGAAAATCTGCCTCCCTGCAGCATCAGAACTGCCAAGCTGCAGAAATGGAGATAAAATGAGGACAAAGTCTAAGGGGAAGAACAAAATGATGTGCCAGCCCAAAAAAGATGGGTCCTGAAGGTAATCCAAGTGTGATCAGGATCAGGCACTTCTGGAGAAAGCTCTGAAGATCCCACCTGGACTTGCTAGCTCTGGACTGCAACAGATGTCAGAGCTGACTGCAAATATTGTGGAAGGACAGAGCCTGCAGGTTTTGTCTTGGCTCTCAGTCTCTCAGGAGGCTTAAAATCTTCTGGCAAGACTGCTCTGTCTGAAAAATTAAGCCTTCCGGTGATCAGAATCACTGTGTAATAAGGAGCCCAGACAATACCTTCCCACTTCTTTTCTCTAGACAGATTTCTAAATCCTACAGGACAAAGCTGTTCACATTTTGGAGCATGCTGCCTAATATAACTCTTCCTACTGCAGCACTTTCAAGCTATTCCCTTCTCCCAATATATGCCCATCACAAAACATCCCTTTTGACACTTTGGATAAAATCCTTCATCGCTTTCTACTGCTTGGTCAAAAGTGCCTCACAGCACTTTGCGACGACAGAAATCAGAGTGAAGCAACCTGGACAAGCCGCAGTACAGCCCTCTTGTTGGGATACTCACATGTACTCTGTGACGGGAGCATTGCTGACTGTGTGTGCTGCTGCTGGAATGCTGGTCTCACTGCCATAACTACTCCCACAGCTATAGAGGCTGGGCATGTGCACTCTGTAAAGATTATCGTGTGTTTGTCTACTCCCTTGAGCAGCTGATTCTTCTTCCCCATCATCATCTGAGCTTCTGCAAGAAGGAGAAAAAGTTCCTCCTAGAACCCTACAATTACCCCACATGTGGGGTTTGCAGGAAACCATGGTAATCCTAGGAACCTCCCAACCATCTTCCACACCTCCACATCCCATTTGGGATGCCTCAGGGTGGCAGTGTCAAACACAGCCTACACCACAGTGACTCAGACCTCCCACAGATACCATCTGGACTTTTACACGGCGTGATCCCCTACAGTCTCCCTGCGGTCTTCTCTCAGGGCTTGGCAGACAGCATAGTTCTGCAACTGCCCAGTCATACAACCAAAGGATGGACACACATCCTGAAATACACAGCACTTCAAAAAAAAAAAAAATAAAATGAGGCAGTGGGGATTTAGTGCTATGCATCCCACAGAGATCATCCTTCAAAACTGCAATCTGTCTCCTTCTATTTCTTGTAGCCATGTCCAAAGAGCTTTTAAGGATAAGTCTCTGTAGACTATTCTGAACTCCCATCCTGGTTACAAAGGAATTGCTGGTTGCTTCAGCACCTATCAAAATCTCAGAAGTCTTTATGGAGACTAAGCTGCAATGTTTGTGCCTAAAGGCTCTATTCTCTCAAAAATGTCAGGATTTTAAATCAATTTTAATGCAGAGCAGGGCTGTTTGCCAGCTGGTTCCTTCCCCCCTTCCCATAGTATGCTCTTGTCCCTCCTATACAATATACACTGCTATTTTATCTCTCTAATTACGGGATGAAGCACCAAGGTCTGAAATATATTTTGGCGACGCTTGACAAAGCTAGTAAAAGGTTCTACAGGAAGCACTTTATTGCTGGGAAAGACAGCATGGACATTGCTACATCCCAAATATCACCTGCAGCTTCTGTACCACGAGGTGGCACTGAAGATTTAGTCAGGGAATTGCAGCCTGCACAGCCTCTTACAGGCAATAAGTATGACATCCTCCACCTCCTGGAGGGAGACAGAGGAAGAAATGGTGCTCCGGGGAATGCAAGAGGGAATCCTTCAGCTCACAGCAGCAGCCTGCGCCTGCCGGGGTTGGCAGGACAGGCAGCAGCCCACATGGAAGGCAGCACAAGAGATACCACTGCGTCAACCTTTCTCCTTCAAACAGGCAGACCAGCATTCTCTTGGTAATTTCTCTGTAGCTGTGTGTGGAAGAGGTAAGGAAACCAGACATTTTCTTAAGTGCTATTCTGACGCATTTCCCAAGGCTTTCTCTGTGGGCACCGCAAGCCTGGAGGGCTCTGGCTTCCTGCTATTGTTCAGGATGTTCCATTTTACTTTGAACCTTAAGCCTGGGCTTAGACCACAAAAACCATGTTTCAGGACCACAGAAAAGAATTTGCTGCACAGTCTACTGCTCTTCTGCAAGAACAGAAAACTCAAAGCTATTTTAAATAGCTGCATGTGGTGCAGCAGCCAGTCAGTGAAGCAAAGGTTTGCTCAAGACTTACTGATCAGCCTGGTTACCATCATTAATACCAGTTCCAAACAACTCTACTGTTAGATGACTGCCACCAATTTGCAAGTATCTCATCTGCCCATGCTATTGCCAGCAAGACAGATCCTGGTTTCTATTAGCTATGCAAGTCAGTCACCCCAGTGTGAGAAAAGCCAAAAAGGCAAGTGTGAACTGCTGCTCATTCCAATTCTCTTCCCCATACTAGAACAAATGCCTCAAAGCAATGCAAGACAATAGGTATTTTACAGATGGCACATAGTTCAAGCATTAACTCTCTCTACAGCTATAATGATTCATCTCCGACTTGACTCATAGTTCTACAGTGTACTAAATGCTCTGCACACAGACTATTCCAGTGCAGTCAGGTTCAGATGTAAATATTAACCACAGCCAAAGCAAAAGCCAACATTTTTTTTTTTTCTGTTGGACCTGTGCTTATAAAGCTTCATCCCTCACTCCTGGAATCATATGGGAAAGAGCGCCATATGCTCATGGGCACAAATCCAATAGCCAGTCTTCCTTCAGGAAGAGCTCCACAATGCTACAGGATCTAAACCCTCTCTATACCTCTTTTGCTGCCAAGTGTGTGGGACGCTGCACACAATGGAACTGAACATGAGGGCTGTGACAAAGGAGAAGAGAACCAGGTAGATAAGTCCTTCCACTCCATCATAGCAAAAGCCCGTCAAAGCCTGGATGTAATCCTGGAGAGAGAAAAGAGCAGAGTTTCTTGATCACTATGGAGTTAACATTGAGCTCTAATTCAAAAGCCCTTCCTCTGGACTATGTTCTCTGAAACAATTTAAGAGATTGTAGTCCTTTTTCCAAAGCATATTACTATTTGCAATCCCACACAATAAGACTTTAAGAAGGTGGGGGGGGGGGGGGGGGGGGGAGAGAAAAAAGAAGAAAAAAAAAAAAAAGACAAAAAAAAGAAGAAAAAAGACAAGGCAAACTTATCCACCCAACTTAAGATTTCCATTACACTTCTCAGTTCCCTCACTATGTCCCATTGCCCAAGAAGACAAGCAAGGACTACCTGTTCTCTGCCTTCAGAGACACAGCTAGGGCAACAGTTAGGCCATGCTATACTGCAGCTATAAGGCAATTCCATTCCATGGGAAAGGCAACAAGCTATGTGCTATGGAAAAAAAAAAAAAACCTGAAGGCCCCTGAAACCTTAGGGCTGCAGCTTGTAGACGTATAAAGGCATGTTATCTAGTTTCCTATGTTGATCTTTAAACAGAAAGCTAACTTGATCCAAATTCCCATTCTCCTTTCTGCTGGAGTCAATCAGTAAAAGCTGTTGTAAGCTGTTTTGGCACACCAGAGATTTGAAACTCCAAAATAATCAGTATGCTACAGGCTCTACACCCACTTTGTTCTTTCTTAGTTCTAGCCCAGTTACTGAGTACTCACCAAATGCAGACTCCGACAGTCTACTAAAGCTGTCAGTTGCTGCAAGTTGATCTCTGTTGAATTTAAAACCTCCTGGATCCGAGTAAGATACTCCTATAAGCAACAAGCTAGTGATTATTGCAAGGAAATGACTTTGCAGGAGCTGATCTTGGGCTTTGTGCAAGGGTAAGGGGAGCCAGAAAGCACAGGGAGAGTGAACTTGACGATAGTTACCTTGGATGTGGGATACTCTCTGCTTGCTGATCTCATGAGTTCCATAACATCATCCTGCATCTCTACCAGAGCCTTGTGACTTCCTGACAGCTTCTGCTCAATACAAAACATTGCTTGTTTCAGCAATTCAGGCTACATGCACCAAGAGAACTCCTGGGAAAAGACTTAAATCCTACTTCCCAAACACTGAAACATCATCAGCATGAATTGTACAAGTTAAGGGTGTCTCAGCTAACATGGGTGCAGCTATGATAGGGTTAAGCTTGACTTTTACCAACCCGGAAAAAGTATGCACAGAAAGAAGAGGGGAAGGGAAGAACCAAAAGCAAAAAAACAACCCACAAAAACACACACACAAGAACTATACACACAGCTGGGGCCAGCTTCAAGGACAGAGGTGAAAGAGAAAGAAAATACACAAAGCACTCATGTTCTCACCACAAAGCAAACCTGGATTTTTTTACTGAATCAGATGGCCAAGAAAGACTTAACGGTGATACTAGATGTTTGTATTAGGGTGCAGCCTTTACATCCCATTAAAGCATCCATGGGAATTTCACATGCAATAGCATGTCAGAGAGTATACTGAGCAACTAGAAATGCAACAGATGGCAACAGTGCATCATATCACAGCTTGAAGTGTTCTTACCCCACCCTTTAAAACAGAGGAAGACAAGACTTTAAAAATCCTAAATATAAAACGGTGAAGCAGCTGGTGTCTGCCAAATGGTGGGTGGTGTGGGTTCATTCTAGCCTCTGATACATTAGACGAAGTTTGGGATGGGCCCAGGTGTTGTTCTTCAGCCCCCACACGAAAGAATAATGACTCACATTTATACTTCAGGATATAAACCCTTCAACATCCAAGGGATTTAAGAGACATATGTGAGAATCACTCCTTCACCCACAGAAGTGGCTGCATTTTGGGAGTGGAGCATTGCCACTATTTAACCCAAAAGAACCTGAAAGAAGAGATTCAAAGCAGGAAGTATGTAGTTTCCCACCCTGGCATTAATTGTGGGTGTTTTGTGGAACAGAGGTTCCACAAACAAAACCATGGTTCTCACCACCTCACCCATAGGCCCTTCTAAGAGGGCATCCTGGACCTGAAACTATGCAGGTGGTGATGAAGTTGGAAAAAATTGCTCACTAAATCACAGTGCTTGCACAGCTGGAAAGTAGCTACCAAAGCTTTACCAAGAGGATTAGAGTGCTCCCTAAAGCTAACACCTTGCAACTTGCTGCATGCTGGCATCAAAAGCGTTTAACCTGTACCCTGCAGGATGCTGAGAAGGGGTGAAGGTTGCTAGGATGCTTACACTCACCTGCTGGAAAGGGTTGGGGTATCCAGCACTACAGGTAATGTAATAGCGGAGAGTACCTACAAAGACAAAAGAAAAGAAAGTCACACTAGATACATTGTTCCAGCTTTGCAGCATTTTGCAGCTGCCACAAGGGAGGTGTTAAGTTCTGAAAGCAATACACAAAATGAAAATGCAATATAAATGGAATCACTTCCCTCTCTCTATATAGGATTACAGTGCATGGATGGCACTAGAGAAAGGGATGTAAGATGCCTTTGGGGAGAAAAGAAAGATTTGCTTTCTGTTGTTTTGTTTTTTGTTTTTTTTTTTTTTTTTCAGTTTGTTTGGGTTTTTTTTTGAACAGTGAAAGGCAATGGGGCTGCTCCACTTCAGTAGTTAGATGAAGCATCCAAAAAGTTTTATTCAGAAGTCAGCACTACCACTGTATAACCATAAGGCAAGACCTCAGTCTAGGATAAATCCAACTGGATGTTTAATTTCTGCAACTTCCAAGTGTCAGAATACCATTCTATGGTCACTGAAAGCAACCACAGACAACTGTCTAAGGCACTTAGAAAGGAGACGACTCAACTTTCAGCCAATTCAATTCACCACTTCGGTCACAACCCATCACAAAATAGTAGCACAGGAGAGGTAGTAGCGGTTACATAAATACAGACTGCTATCAAAAATACCTGTGGAAGCACGCTGTTGGGCCAAAGGAGGTGCATACACACATCCCTGTGCTACTACACAATGCTGAAGATACACCTTCCTAAATGTAGAAGTTCAAGCATTTAAAAGAAAAAAGGGTAAAAAAAGACACCTTCACAACTGGGGATTCTTCTATCATGTTCAAGGAGAGATTGGTTTTAGGCAGTGTTCTGTAGAACAACGTAAGAAAGTGCTCCTAACCCAAGAAAATATTAACTTTCAGTAATATAATTTCCTAAAAATGGTATCACTTTGAAAGCAGGAAAATAGATAGAAGACAACAGGCTCTTGTATTTCTGACGTGTGTTAGGGCAGAACAAGTAAATAGTAGTCTGTTTTCTGATGGATGTTACTTGTATGCAGTTAGATTTCAGTTAGAAGGCTTTAATTATACTTTAACTAAAAGAATACACGTCATTTGTTTTTCATCCTTCTTTTGACTTATGCAAAAGATGTACTTTCAGTATTGAGTCAATCTTACCACATGTACTAGGGTAAAAGGAACATATTATCTGTTCAAGGGACCGCAGATCATTTCCTGGTAACATCCCAGAAGTTAGTCTTAATACTGAGTAGCTCTACCAGTAATCCCAGTACAGGGAAGTCCTAAACTTCCAGGTAAGACTGTTAGAGTGCTCTGCTAGCAGCAGCAGCATCTATTTCCAGGCTTGAAGACACAGTTTTATTCCTCCTCATTCAGATGCATATGAAAGCCAGGTGCCCTCATGAGCCCTCCATAATACTACACCAACTGCCAACAAGTTGCAAATATCAGGCTTTCCCATGCCAATCGCAGCAACGCTATCAAGGGAGGGAGCTCTGAAAGACTTGATCACCCAGATATCTTCAGATTAGTTCTCAAACATTTACAGTTTCTCTTCAGATGAATGGGAGCATACCAGCTCAGCAAAATCAAGGGTGACATTGGCTCGGCAAAGACTACAAAAGCCCCAAAACACACATACACTCTGCATTTCCCTCTCCCCCACTAGCATCCTTTTCCCCATTCTTTTTAATCTTTCATCTGTGATTTTCAGTAGCACGTACTGCAGGCTGTAAAGCTATTCTAATCAGTCCCAACTCAGAAATCAGTAAAAGGCACAACCGCAAGCGAGCGGAGCTGTGAAGGAAGCAGACCCGACTGTATCCTGACTCTGCCGCGCATCCCATAAATATTGAATGGGCCTCTCGGCAAGCCAGCACACGGGAGAGCAAGAGGTACGACACAGACTGTCAGCTCCTGCACACTGGCAGCACAACCTGACAGTTGTTATTTATAATTCATTAGCCTACTTTGGGGCAGCTTCTGCCAGGTGCTTCATCTCCCTCCCACCGACTCTTTCTCTGGGATGACTTACATCTCCCCAGCCAAGCCTCTAAACAGCAATTAGCAAAACCTGGGCAGATAGGAGGGCAGCAAGAACTGCTTTGTGTGCCTCTCTTTGGGCAGACCACACAAATGACTGTCCACAACTACTGAGCCAAGGAAAGGACTGCTCCTCCCAGGCTCATAAATCACACTCAATGGCTGTGGAAAGATGGATTAAAATGCACCTGCACTGTGAGAATAGCATAGCAGCAGCAATCCACAGCATCACACATGGTGACCTAAAGGAGCTGTGATCTTGTCACCTATTTATTTTAAACCAACAAACCACTAAAAGTTTCTCTTGGGCTCCCACAGTGGTATCAAGTTTACATCACCTTTATAAGTGCATTAAGTTGCATGACATACTGCTAATACATAGCTCTAGAAATATTCCCTGAGGGCCTTCTGCATGATCCCTGGTGGGCAGATTACAGATGAGAGTTCCTGATAGCATCATAGTTTGCACTTTGTAAGCCCAGGATAAAGATTGTTGGTTACAAGTGAAGTGAAAAGCAGTACAGTGAAGTAAGTGCTTCCCTTACTTCACCCTGGAAGGCAGGATCAACAAGGCTTCGCTGTGGTAGCACTGGCATTGCAGCTGACAAGTGTGACACTGTACATAAAACGTGCTTTCCAAAATGGCAAAGCCAGCAGGAGCGACTTTCCCCTGAACTGAACCCAGTGTGCTAACAGCTGTGGTGCTTTAAAGCTAAAGCTACAATAAGCAGTGAAGCTGCCTTAAAGTGATCCTGTGCTGCAAAGCCTGGAAATTAAGAGGAGCGTGACATCCCTGCCTCCATGTCACCAGGATGGGAAAGAGGAATGAGCAGGAGGCATCTTCACCAGTTTTAAACCTGGTGAAATCTATCATGTACAACATCAAATCTCACATTTCTGACCAGAAAGCAGCTATACTAACCCATCATTTGCGCTCTGCTAACAGCTCCAGGCAATTTCTTTCTATAATTATCTTGCCAGTGCATTTTTCTCTCAAGGAAAATTCCTAAAGGTTGGATCTGATTTTTGAAGCTGGTCTTTAGGCGATCTAGTTTATAGAAGAAGGGTTAGGCAGGGTCACAGTTGCAGCTGCCTGTGCCTGCTGTTGCTAGCAGCAATCCTCCTGACCCATTCTCCTGGTGCACAGGCAGTGTGGGAGCAGAAGGCAAGGAAGGGAATTACCCAAAATGCTCTATTTTTGCAAAGTCTGTTTTTCCTAGAAAGGAAAGTAGAACTGCCTACTAAAGACAGCTTCAGCTGCTAGAACTACATATTGCTCCTGCAACCATGGAGACTTACTATTCACTTCAAAGCCCAGCTGAAATGCAAAAATGGCATTATGCACCCGCCAAAAGGCAGCAAGGAGGTCTGTAGGGTAAGGAGCTGTCAGAAAAAAAGATCCTAATTGAAAAAAAAAAAAATCCCCATACCTAGAACAGCCTTTCCCAGCCCTTCTTCATCTCTACTTAAGCATTCTCTAAGCAGCTTTCATTTTACATATATACCCAGATGATACTGTCTCTGTGGGTTCAATCATCAGAGAAAGTTGAAGTATACTGCCTGTGATGTCAAAGGAACATGACTCTTTTGACCAGATTATCTTGCCCAGGTAACATGTTCTCCACCAGGAGTTTTGTTTCCCTAAGGCAACAAGTCTGATAGCAAAGGGAAGTATCTGCATAACATTTATATTTCTTTCATATATGCCACACTTGTGCTGGTGAAATCAGTCCCTGTGAGCTGTCAGCAAAGAGCCTGTAGCTATCCCACATGCCCTCCAGTCAAAGCTTTCTGCTAATCAGGAGTCCAACAAAACCATGCAGCAAAACACAGCTTTTCTCAACACCTACATGAGCTCAGCAAGATTCTCGAGAGCGTTTCTTTGCTCAAACTCTTTTCTGCAATGCCCACTGAGCCCAAGCAATAATTGTGCAAGCACCACACGCCCTACATGAGGTTTTGTCCTGACCTTACTTCTAGAGGGGAAAGGGAGGTGGTGGCAATGTCAGCCTTTCAGTTCATTCAGCTCTGGGCTTCTAGGAAGAGAGTGAATCAGTGAGAGGCCAATTTAAAGGCCGTGTGAGACAAGAACGCTTGCTGCTTGTAGCTGAGCAGCTAAGTTTCAGCATCCAACCAGACCAACTTGGCTGGACTGGAGGTAAAAGGCTCCATTATCCATCCCCTGAGGTTTACAGTTCCTTCAGATGAAGGAAGGGGCTGTTCACCATGAAGATTTCTAGTAAGAGAATCTGGAGAAAGCTCGTCCTGTTGTTTAGACAGATTGTGCCTTTTTATTTAATTTTATGCAGTAAGTCATCTGATAATAATATCATATCAGTGAAAAAGAATGAGACTAGAAGATGGCCTCCTGCTTTGAAAATAAACATCTTGACTGCACCAAGTCTTTTTACTAGCAGCAGGAGCCGATTATACAGCCACTGTTCAACTCCATTGTCTTTATCTGAATAAATGGATAGTGGGTAAGTTAGGCACATATATCAGCCTCTTCTGCCAAATTATTTAAGTCTCTCCTTCTCCAGGAAACCTGCATTAAGGAAGGCTCTCTGCCCCAACTCCTCTCTCCCCCTCCTCCTTTTTAAATGCAGCAGATTTTATCTATAAAACAAGGACATCTCCTCTCCAGCTAAAAACATGACAACAATAATAATGCACTTAATCAGATTATTCTCAGCTCCATTAATTCTATTTAGATTTGCAAACAGCAATTAATATACAAACAGGAATATTAATGTATGAGTTGCCCAGTATCCAACACAGTTATTTTTCTGTGAAAACTACTATAACCACCACCAACAAAAAAGCATTGCAAATATGCAAATCTCTATGAGTCAGTCCTAGTCTGAATGCCAGAGCACAGGGCTGGGAATATTACAACACGTTATATTTAAAAACAACAACTAAAAATAGCGATTGAAGGGAAAAATTGACCCATCACTACAAAGCTACTTAAGATTACTCAATGGTTCTTATATCCTTAAAAATAGATGGCAGCACCTAGCCCAGTGTGCCATACCCTAGCACTGGCCAAAAGCAGATACCTAGGCAAGACTGAAAACGAGTGCCCTCTCAGCCCAACATCAGCTGAAGTGATTCTCAAGGTTAGTGTGATTCCTACATATATGGTAACTCCCAATGGATTCTTCTTCCATGGACTACCTGAGCCTCTCCATCCAACTCACACACTGTTTTAGTCACCTCTTTTCTGAACTGAAAAATTCATGGTCAGGTACATTCTGGTGGAACTACCTGGAGCAATCTTAAAAGTGTTTCTGCTTCATCTGTCTATACTGCTGCTACTATTGGAGAGCATCATCCAAAGAGCAGAGGCAGCAAACCAGAGTGTGAAGAGTCCATGCACTAGACCTAGGAGCCTTCAAACAGGGCATCTTCCTCTGAGAGGACAGCATCTATGCTGGCTCCCAGCTGCCTGCCCTGTCTCCTCGAGCTCGTCACTCTCATTGTATATATGGCTCAACTGACCACAGAGCAGCTGCTACAAATTACAGCCAGGCATACTAAGGGATACCAACACTTATTTCAGACTTTTGAAGACATTTCTAAGGAGCCATTGTTGGGATTGAAGTGTCATTGAGCAGTGCCACACTGCAGCCCTCATGTCGTGATTTTCCTTCCTGCTCGGGTGCACAGGACGGTCCCCACATCAGGGACAAAGAGCTATTTCCGTAGCTTCCTGATCATAAACTATGACAGCAGTGAAAATCCACATGGGAAGGCAGAACATTTGATCATCTCCCAACCAGCTGCCTAGTGTGATGACAGGCTCAGAAGTTAAGACTGATTTCCTTCTGAAAAAAAGGCAAAGGCACTCACGAACTCTCAACGGCTGCCTAACAGCAGGGAGCTGACACACCAGCAACCCACAGAAGTGGCCACCCTTCCAACTCAAGCCTCTGACAACACCTGCTCTTCCTCCTCTTCAGCGTTTTGCTCAGACCCATTCACTGTTATTTATGGAGCCTTAACAACTGTTATAGCTGGCGGTGCTGCCAGAACAGAGCCTGATTTCACCCGGGGGAGTTGACTGTCCCTGCCGGGGGAAGTAGGAGGGACAGAATGTCAGTCCTGCACTCACTGTTAGCCTCTAAATGAATGATACTGATTAACAGAAAACTGCAGGAGCCAAGCAGACAAGGACAACTGACATGGAGAAGCAGTACAAAGGGGCATTTTTTCAGTTTCCCAGGGTCAATCTAATTGTTACCAAACATGTTCCAGAGCTGATTTGGCTTACCAAATTATTACATCACACAGCTGGCATTAGTGTCAGGTATCTCACCTTGGCTTCATTGGCCTGTTTGCCCCCTTGAACAACTGGGAGACTAGTTTTGTACCTGAAGCCACATCTTCATCACCTTCACAGCCAAGAGAGGATTTCCATCTTGTGCGGTGTTAAACACTTATTCTCTTCTCTTATTGCATTTCTTTGTAACAAAGAGAGCTACCCAGCTCTATTCTCTCCTTCCCAGGAAATCAATAAATAAGGCATTCCAAAAATAAGCTGTAGAGTGGTAATATCAACCTGTACATGCTCTTTTTTACTACGTTCTGCTTCCAGACATAAACATTTCTTACTGCTTCCAATCCCTGCATCCTCAGCCACAGCTACATACTTAACTTCCTATCAATTAGTTGCACAGTAAGAGGCAGCGTTTGGCTAAGCACGTGGCCAAGCACATGGGCATACATTAGATCTTCCATACACAAGGCAAAGATTCTCCAATTCCAGCAAATAAGAACCAAGAAAAAACAGTAGCTTCTTTTGCAAATCAGTGTCATTGCTTATTTGTGTTTTATCATACAGAGAACCATGCAGAGGAACTATCAGAGGCAGAGAGGGTAGAAGAAAAGAAGAGTTAACTTTGATACCTAAGCAGCAAACCTATCCCTGAAAAATACCTTTCCTTTTTAACACTTATGCTATCTCTGCTGGCTTAAGTCACAGTTCTGAAAGAAATTTTTCTCCCTATGAGGTCCAAATTGGAGGCACCCCTCATCTCACCAACCATTTCAGTCTAAATTAAGAGCAACAAACCCCAAATCCATCAGTGTTTCAGCTGGATGCCACAGTGATGTAGGCATATTGCTTTAAATGGAACAGGTTAAACAAAGCAGTCACAATCCTGCATTTATAATGGAAAGGGAAATTCATACTTCTCTTTGTGGCTGCTTCCATTCATTTATTCTTTAAATTAGCTTTAGAGACTCCTATTTATAGCCACCATTAAGAGAAAAAAAAATATATTTGTTGATAACAGATATAAAAACAACTATTCTAGATCCAGGAATATAGACCCAAGAGCCAGTTTTAAAAATGACAACTCAAACTGCACACTGCTATTGCCACAGTTCTGTCACAAAGAGAAGAGAGTAAGATTCAAGTGTGCTACATTCAAAGCAAAATAATCCAAGGGCTTGTGTTGTTCCATTTTATCAGTTATCCCCACCTAAGGGCCAAGACAGAATAAAGGTTCTGAAGGCTATTCTAACAAAAAAAAAGTGTAGACATGCACTTCTAACTGGGGTATGTTTCTTTGGGAAAAACATTGGTTTTCCAGAGCTCCACACACATATACTTTTCCCCACTGTATGCAAGCTCCTCTGCTCCAAACACAGCCTTAAATTCTCAGCCACTGCCATGCTCCAATGTGACAGCTGGAGCCACAGTACCCTGTGCCAAAGCCAGTCCCCGCACTTACCAGCACTGAGCACTGCATTCTCTTCAACCACTTTGGAGACATAAGCATCAGGGTTGATACAGAAGTCACTGGAGCCCTAGATAGATGCAAGACAAAAGGGAAAAGGAATATCAAAGAACACCAGCATCAAAGAGCAGTTGAGCCAGGTTAACATCAGGGAACCCTCTACTATAGGGGTGCTTCAGATGCTGAAGTCTCTCATAGTCATCCCCACCAGCACTGCTTTTAGCAGCAATACTAACTAGCGCACTACACCACAGAGGAAGAAGGAGCTCTGTACTTTTCATAGATGCAAATTGCTAAAACAGCTACTTAGGACAAGACACACTGTGAAACAGGCACAGTGTAAAATCAATCTTGTGTCTGATAAACCTGCATCAAAGGGTGAATTGGACTTGGAACAGAGCCACTCACCACAGCGACAGCCAACTCCAGACCCAAGGATCCCCAGCTGACAATCAGGGCAAACACCCCAAGCAAGCACACCCTGTGGGAGACAGACAGATGGCAGATGTAAAAGCTCTGCTTTCAAGCAGATCATTTCACAAGATGTGTTATTTGGAGTCCAAAGCAAGTACCAAACCCAAGAAATTATCAACCACTGTATCTTCAGCTAAACCATCCCATTTTATATGTCATGGACAGCAGCAACCAGAGAATTTCATGTCCAGCTGTTGGTTCCCACACTACGTGGCCCTGGGGCTGCCGAAGATGAAGAGGGTAGAAGCAAAGCCTTGCCCTGCTGCTAGCAGGGAAGCCAAATGCACAAGGACACAAGGGTGGCTGTAGGAGAAGGCAGATTGGCAGATGGATGACTACAGTCACCCCACAAAAACATACCGATCTGAAATTGGACAAATCTTTTCTGTTTCTAGAATAAATGAGATTGTCAGGTGTAAGCACCACATGGCTACAGACAGTGGGAGGGAACACTCAGTCCCTGTTAGGACACCTGACTTCGGTTCCAAGCTGCATGCATCTGAACAGCACCTAAACATCCCACATAGCCAAACACCTTCACCCAGGAGAGAGACAGTCACCTGCAGGCAAAAAGTTCAGAGCAACAGTGTAGGTGCCTACCACTGCCATGGGAGTCCATCTCTTCACAGATTTAAAAGTTTTGTTCTGACAGCTGGACCTCATTACAGACAGAAATAGTGGGAAGTGTCTGCTATCAAGCAGACACAAGGCAGAGGGTTGACAGAGCAGTGGTTTTGGAGACGTTCAGCTAGCATACACCAGTAGAACAGGCTTTTGCACTTCCTCAAGCAGCACATTAGCTCTTCACCTTTGCTGGCAGTATGACTGCTAAAGATACTTAAGCAAAAGTGCTCCTCAGCTCTGTCAGGTATGGGGATGCAGACTAATAAGCAATTTTGTTTTATGTATCCCTGCCTTCAAGTAAAGGGATGCTGGCTTGCTCTCTCAGGGATGTTTTTTCCTTCAGGCTTCGAAACACAAATAGGTTCCCTCCCACCCACACCCTGAAGAAAACAAAACAAAAACCTGTTCATAACCAAAATATGCTTTATTCAAACCTAGCGCAAGCATCTCTGTGAGACAGGGACATCTCTCTTTTGTGCTACATTTGTCTTATTTAAGACTAGAGCTCTAAATAACTAGATCTATGGGTCTCCATTAAAAAAAAAAAATCTATCCCTCAGTTTACCAACTGATTTTAATTTTAAGTAATCCCTATTCTGTGAATTGATTCTGTGGCTCATCTTGCAGAAGTAATAGAGCTTCACAAGACTGACCTCTGTGCAGACCTCTGCAATAAGGCGCTAAAAACTTCATCACACTTTTTCCAAATGGATGCAAAAATTATCAGCCATCGATCAGCAAGGTTCTGTGGTTTTACGACATAAGGACAACACAGCTTGGTGCCTCCAGCTGAGCATGGTAATCGATAAGACACATTTGGTTTTTTACTTTAAATGAAGATGACTGGGTCAGTATCTGATTGCTTGGCTAAAAGTTCTAAAATTGGCATTTCACCATCTTGCTTGGCTGTGATACACTTGCTTCTTTATGCCATGTGCTCCCTTTGGGGAATGCCTTAATATGAACTTCTGGCTAACAGGGAATGAGATTCTAATTTAAACCCTGGGTTTACCATCTGTGCATACACTTGGACTTTTGTCTATATAACCTGCCAGGTATGAAGTCATCTGGCAAACAATAAATCTGAATACACATTCCAATTATTAATGGCATCACCATGTACCAGGATAAACTCTTGGCCATGTCAGCTGTCAAACTGTCACTATGTTTATGATACTGGTATCTTTGCCAAGTATACCAAGATAAACCAGTCTACAAGATAGGGAGAGGAATATTTTTTTTCTCGTAATGGGGCCTGAGCATGGCAGCATTTGCAGTGCTTTTTAGAATCGAGACATGCATTAATACTGCAGTATCATAGCAACAAGACTCCTCCTCATAACTGTACAAACCATTGCATGTTCTCAGTTTAACATTTCTTCAGGTGTGACAGCCAAGGATAAACAAGAGCAGATCGTGACACAAAAGGCATGCTACCAGGTTGTGTAGACACATGCAATGCTTATCATCGATTAACAAATGCCTTCACAACTGTAGAGAATTAAAGGGAGATTTTTAAAGCCTGTAAATTTAAGGAAGGATGTTCATATTACTATCTCCCAGCAAATAAAGGCTATCAGTGCTACCCAGTGGAAGGCAGACTGCCCAGATGAGTTCCTCATCTTTGATGAGAAAGGAATGGACAGCAGTACCATCACATTTTATAGCTCAAGAACCTTCCTATGAACATCTCTCATAGGTAGCCCTAATCGTACCCACAGAGCTATGCTCTACAAAGTCTCTCTACACTGAGAGGTAAATTTAAGATATTCAGTCTCAGAAGTCCTTGATACCAACTGACAACAGTCTAGAGGTTTAAACTAGCAGGCACTTGCATTCAGCCAGCCTTCCTTATGCACTGTGATTGGGTCGGGACTTACCCCACAAGAATGGCTCTGGAGTTTCTAATAAGCCCAAAGAGCACCAGCAAGCATATCAGGACGTGGAACAGGAGCAGGCCCAGATATCCCAGCCACCTGCAGCAAACAAAAACATAGTCTGAAAAGGAAAACTGGTGTGCAAAAGGCACAGATCAAGAAGCTAGTGTGACTCATGGTAAAAATGTAGCCCTTCTTTTCTTCAAGTAAAAGTGACCACTAATGATTAATCTGAAAAGAGCTCTGGATAGTTGCTGGGTCTGGAGTTGAAGCAGGTAAAAGCATTTACACAACATGCCCAAGATGCACAGTTGTTGAGAAATAAGACTGCTAACCTTGTTATAGTGTAAAGTTATATACAATTGGACACCATCAGGTGAAGAAGAGGAATTGCAGCTTCTTGAACTTCCAAGATACTTGTTCCTAGAAAATGCTTCAGTTATTGATTCAACATGTGTGGACAGAGGTTTTCTTTTGTGGAATAGAGCTGATGCAATCTTTTATTAAGTATGTTTAATAAAAAGGAGTGTTACGGTATGGTGTTAACTTACAGAACTAATGCAGTTTTTTACTCTATTTAGTTAATGTTAATTAGTAATGTTTAGTTAATACAACTACAACTTACTAGGACACAGAGTAGCTATCTCTGTGGCTGCTTTTCCCCGTGTTAGAACACATACTACAGATTTTGTACATTGAGAATAAGTTTCCCATCAGCTGGTAATAAACACAGTTAAGAAAATGTTGTTGTCATGCATTTTGATTTAAACTGAATGCAATTTTGCTGTAAGAAATGAATCAGCTGGATGGGCCAAGAGCACCTGCAGTAATATATAGAGCCTTTGGCTCAGTTACCCAGAACACACACATCACTGTTGCAAAACAAGCCAAAACAGATGCTACAACCACTACACTACAGCCTGCTACACACCTGTACCAGTCATAGAGGTCAATCTGAATTGCCAGCTCCTCTAGAGACAGCTCTTCATTCTTCCAAAAGGGGATCTCAGTTGTTTGCCTGACCAGATCATCCAAGAGACTTTGCAGCTTCTGGATAACTTGCAGGTAGTCTGTTTGCTTCGTGAACATCTCCTCTAGGATGAGCAAGTTTGGTTCCACTGTTTGGTTCAGGGCCACTGCTGTATCTAGTACCTGTAAGTATTGGGGGGGAAAAAAAATAAAGATAAAAATAAGAAAAAATAATTAAAGGACAGAAAGTCAAGGAAATAAAGGAAGATTCAGTCTTACTAGCAAATCACGGACAGGTTCCAGATTACCAGTCCTCTGTCTTAAGAGGCTCAGACTGCTTACCCTTCAAAAGCAACTTATAAGTATCACAGACTGTTTGCAAGTAGTTCAATGATGGCATCTCAGCTGAGCCTTTAACACATGTACACATTTTGCAGCCATCAAGGTTGCAGTATGATACCTCAAATTAGAGGTAGCACAGGAAAAACTGATTGTACTAAAATGATACATTTTACTAAAACACTTGTCTGCTTTGGCCTGCCTCCTCTTCTGGGTGTGGAAGAGAGCTGATCAGAAGCTGTTTTTAAACCTAGCAAATAGAAGACTTCATTTAACAAGCTGTGTTGCTTTGATATTTTTAGTAGAGCTGAAGAAATCACTGCTCCATTAATGGAAATTTTAGCACATCTCTAAGCCCAGAGACTAACAAAAAAACAGGAAGAGATACAAGCACAGCCAGATTCAAGAGAAAAGGTGCTGAGCAAGTCTGCTCATCCCCACACTCCTTGTTTGCTAGTGTGACTCTACCAGCACTTACCCGGTCTTGGACACCTGCCACAGTGCGGTTTGCATGGCGTAGCGAGTACGTCAGCCGGTGAATGCCATCACTGGTCTCTCCATTCCCATAGAAGCCAACAGCAATTCCAGCACTGCAGAGAAAGAAAGACAGGAAGGGTAGAGTTAAAGCTAAAAGGCAAGCTGTATAACGCATGTCCTACTGCTACAGCACCCTTGGTAGTCACATCAGCACTTTCCACAGAAAGGGAAGCCACATGCCTCCCAAAGGGTAGCTGGGGTAGTCATGCTTCTCAACAACCACTACAAAAATTCATCTGTAAACATTCGCCTGTGTTGTCCATGCAGCCACCGAGGCTCTGTATAGCATCCATATGACGAACAGCAGAACACCGTCCCTCCTCAGCATGTATCTTTCATTTATGGTACAATAATGAAATCTAGCAGGGAACTGTTAAGGGAGTTCAGACCTAGCCATGGGCAACCAGAAATCCAGCCAGCCAGCCAAGTGGCTTTCCAGTGGCTCCTGCAAGAGCTGCCATTGCTATGTCAGGAGTTGCATGCTTCTCTGGACATGAAATATAGATTGTTTTGTCACATTTTTTTATAAGCAGGACACAAAGAGCTTACGCTGACTACTTGCCCATGGTGGTGGTTCCTCTAGATACATTTTCCACACCCTTCTCTCTACACTGTGAAATATCTATGAAAATCATCTATCTTGATTTATCTTCCCATTAGAAGCATTTGTGTCACATTGATTTAGAGTACTGGGAAGGAAGGCTTAATAACTTACTGGGACAAAAGGCTTATTTATTTTTAAAGCAAGTGAATTTCAAGTTTGCAGACACAATTCAACTCCAACTGCTTAGCAAATTACCACCTATCAGCTGATCTGCCATAACTGTCCACACATATCAGTCTGCCCCAATTAAGAAGTAAACCACATCAGCTTAAACCTCACTTAAAGGAGGAAGATCCTATAAATGAGTTGCAACCAGGAGATTATCTCATGTAAGTCAGAGATACCTCTTCTATTAAGACATCACTGCAGGAACTCACAGTTCCTCTTTGCAAACTCATTTTTCCTAATAATAGAGGAGGAAAAAACTGGTGAAGGGGTCACACAACTAAACTCGGGGCAAACAAAGATTACCAATATACAAATTTCCTATTCTTGTGTCATATTTAGCTTCAGAGCATTCAGGATCTTTTCTGGGAAGGTTCTCAAGACACCAAGGTTGTATTTGTGGTAGTGGAAATGAAGGTGTGGTGGTGGTTTTGCTGTAAATCTAAAGTTATACCAGATGAAACATTTATTTTCTTCGCAACAACTTTGTGCCTGGGTTATAGCACTGCCCTCGCAGAGTTGGTTTGAAGGAGGAATAAGAGAGGAAGGAAACAAGCCAAACAACAGCTTACAGAACAAGTAAATGTACTGGTACTGCCTTTATTTAACAAGAAGGGTCACTAAAGGACATTAGGCATTCTTCACCACCATCACTGGCTGGGAAATGAAACCAAGCAGGCAGGCCACAGTGGGCTTTGTCTAAGTAACAGACCCTTGCACAGATTTACTCTGGCACGTACATCAATCTGCAGTCCAAACGACCATTTCTCCTCTCCTGCAGGCACACAGCATCCATCCCTCCTTTCCTGGGCTCATTGACTTCAGAAAGAGTGACCAGAACAATCTAGTTCACCTGGTTGCATTTTTACTTTCTTCTCATACATACAAGAAATGGAAGCAAAGATCATACACTGGAAGTGGAGCTATTATGAAAATCTGTGTCAGCCTCACGCTTTTTCCAGCAATTGAATCTCCATAAATTATAGACAGCTTGGCCCATAAAAGCCTCAGCTGAACAGTCTTCCACAGACAGTAGGCAGCCTATATCATATGCAGAAAGAGGTAGTGGGTATGTAACTCTTAATATCTAGTGTTAATACAAGAACTCATTCTCCTTCCTCATGTATACCATTCCTCAAACATTTTCCAACTGCAAATGATGCTGATAATTGAAAAGAGAAAAGTCCTGATTCCTTCCTGGTTGCAGCTATTGTCAGAGCTTGGTAACACATGCCTGGGATGCAAGGGGGTAGAGGGGATAGACACACACACCCTCCTGAACTAGAGAGACTGCGGATCCAGAGGTATTCGCAGCGTAAAGGCAACTTAGCATCCCACCACTGCAATCACAAACCTCTGGTTTGACTTGTCCCCCATTTTAACAGAGCAAACAAATTCAGACAGACTTTTTCACTCTCCTGAGCAGCAGAAAACTTTAACAGTCTTTTCTGCTATGGACACCAAATAAAGTCCAGAATGTTCCTGACATGGAATATGCAGATCTGACCCCTTTAATTGGTGAGCAGTTTTTATTCAGCCTGTTACAGCTACTGGAAGCCTATTCTTTCAGCAAAGGCTTGGTAAGTGCCCAAAACCCTTGCAGCCTGGCTCACAGTATTCCCAGCACAGTAGCACTGTTTTGGTGAAAAGACTCAGAAACAGCACTCTGAAGTAGCAGTAGTCATCTCATCCTGAAAGATGCAGCACAACTAGATACATTAGTCAGTTTACTCAAAGCCACCATTTATGAAGTGCTAGCAACTACAGGCAAGTGACATGAAACGCGTTACCATATTCAAGGCAGAACCGCTCCAGCAGCCACCCGTGGACTTTCTATCCAGCCCTGTATGAACACACAGCTTTGCCCTTAACCCTCTAGGCACAGTCACTACTGTAAGAAAACACTAGAGCAACAGGAATTGGGATGAAAGTCATTTAATTAAAGTAACAAATTCCTCTAGACATGCATATCACACATCCACTGGAAACTACACACAGTGGAAAGAATCACTTAGCTATTCCTTCTCCTAGGAGCAAGCTCTACAGTTTTGTAGCAGTTCCTCATTCCATCACACTCGAGAGGGATGTAAACCATCCCTGAAGCCCAGAAGCCAAGGCTGGGGGCAGCTGCTGGGCCCACGCTGTGACTGAGGCAGGGGCAGAGCTGGAGGGCAGGCAGCAGGGGAACTGCTGGTGGGGGAAGAGAACTGTTGGTGTTTAGTTTTCTGTTTGCATTTGGCTTCATCTAAATCCAATGGTTGTTTCAAATCCCTGCCTACACACTGGCATAAGTTACTATTGTTTAAAGCAGATTTAGGGATTTTCACTAGTTTTAAACTAACTTTTACTTGATTAAAGGGAAGCAGAGGGGCTTCTTCTACTTAAGTGCATTCTTTTAAAGTAAAAATAGAGCTACGCAATGTAACCCAACAGCATAGGTCCTTGAGGTCAGGATAAATCACATGGCTTCTTGCACAAAACCCAGGAGGCTCTGTAGCCTAAGATATATCAGATCCATCTCCCACTACAAGATGACACAAAATCATCACCCAATGAGGAAGCCTGCATTTCTGTCACGCAGTGTGGATACAAGAACAGCATTCCTGAATGACACAGCTTTTTTCCACCCTAGCACCCTCTGGAAGATACTCCAACATATTCTCAATGCTTCTATAGGAAAATCATCTCCAGTTCTGCTGTTCTGGCTTCTGCTGTACTCCCCTCCTTGGCACACATACCATCCTCTCCTCCTGAATCCACATCGTCCCATCCTCAATTCCTCCTCCCAAAACAACCCTTGTCAGTCCCCTGTCACTTCCACTACCCCTACCTCTCCCCTGCCTTCCTTCTCACTCATGTTTTTGAATACAAAAAAAACAAAACAAAACACCAAACCCAAAAGCTTAAAAAAAAAAAAAAATAATAAAAAAAAAATCAATCTATCAAGCTCTTAGAGGCCATTTAAAAAGTTGCTCCTGCTGTTCAATAATGTACTTAAAAAGCCACATGGCTACTGTCATTTTGGTAAGTTTTAGAAAACCCACTTAAGTCAAGAAAACATCGCCTTCCTGAGTTTAACACTGGTGCACACCCACAGAAACACTAGAGAGAGAGACAGTGTGCTAGAGCAGGTCTTTGAAGAGTTTTATGACATGAAACAGAAGAGCAGCATGCCATGATTTCTACATATTCCTATAGATACACACAGTATGAAGTACTGCAGATTGTGTACACACACTTCAGTATCACTTTTCAGGAAAACTCAAGAAATTCAAGTCTGGAGAACAGCTTTCAAGTTGTTTGTATGCACAAATCACATGGGTTTAGCACATCCCTTAATAAAGAAACAGAAAAATCAAATCTAATTCCAAATTAAATGGCAATGTGACCTGCAAAAAAAAAAACATTTTCTGAATTACACAAGGTGTACAGGAACAGCAGAGCACTAATCTGATACAGAGAGCATATACACGACTTCTGGTGGTGAGACCCTCCCACTGTAATACCCACGCACACACAGTGAAAACCCCTCTGGGTACCCAGTCACCAGTCTGAAAAGATGAACACTAGTCATTCACATCACATCCTTAGAAATGACTAATCTAACTCACCAAGTCATCTTTAATTACAGGAACTTCATAAGGAGAGCCCTTTTTAGACTGCATGTTCTCAAGAGGAATGTTAATTTGTCTGTCTAATTACCACCTTGCACTTTCGCACCAAGGGAAAGTGCTATTACTGGCACTTGAGAAAGCAAGTTCTCACTATCTATTTGTACCCATTTCTTTCAGATATGCTCTCCACAAAGCTTCCTTCCCACCTTCAGGATGGAGCTCCCTTCTGGGCGAGTTAGGGTCCCCTAACTGTTGGATGAGATGATTTATTAGACAGCTCCCCATGCACAGAAACTGATCAAATTGGTAAGAACTAGAAATCAACTAAATATTAAAGGAATAATCTAGGCAAATCGTTCCTGCAGCTTTGTGGCTAGAGCAACTGGGAAAACTCATTAGAGAGACATTTCATCGGAGAGCTCCTGTTAACCAGTTACGCCTTCCTGCTGGCTCAGCATTCTCCCTTTTGCTCAGCAGGAAATGTCAAGTCATTAGGAAACAGTGATCCACAGCACTCAGCAGGATTCACAGTATAAACAGCCCTCTGGGATTAAGTACTACCTAGGTAAACGTGTACTAGGCACAGCTGGACTTAACCAGAGGTAACTAGTTCTCAGATAGGAAGACAATAATCCATAGTACTCAGACCAGACCAGCTGCCAGACCAGTTTGTAACCTCTCGCTGCTTCAGCACCCAAGCAGCTTCTCTCCCCTTGCACACGGTGCTACAAACTGCTTCCCAGGTCAGCCTGCTGTCAGGCCAACATTCAGAATAGCCTCATTCCCCATCACTCTGAAACGTAACATCATCTGCTGGTCTGGCACTTCTGTGATGTGTAACACACAGCTAGGATAGGATATATTCCATGGACTAATCTTTAACTGTTGGTATCTAACTGGGACTTCCTGCTAGCACAGACTAGATTCCTTGCTTGTAGGAAGCCACATCTGCCTTTGCGGCCAGATGCTGAGCACAGAGTGCCAAGTGGCACCAGTTCAAGTGCTCTGTCGCAGCCAGCTGCTGTAAGAGGGGTAGAAAACCAACCTCAGCTTTGCAGGAGAGTGGCAGCACTTGGACAGCACCTGCATTCACCACAGATGGTACCAACCTGCTATTGCTCAAGCGTGCTAACTTCAGAGTGGAAATTTAAAACTTAATTTAAAAAGTCAAGACAAGTATTCATCCAATATCACTGTAGATTCAGGTGGAATCTTAGTTTTAAGGCTACTCCTGCATTTAATATGTTCAGCAACAAATGGTACACCAAGGATGAGAACCAACAGTTCAGATTTTGGGGAAGCCTAAGCAGTTTTCTAGCTTGTGGACTTGACTGGGCATCACATCAAGCTAACCAGAATTTATATGCTGACCTTCCAACTTTAAATTGTCTCACGTGCGCTCTGGAAGATGCACAGAATACCTCACCCTTTCTACAATTAAAAACAAACACAACTACCACACTCTGCAGCAGATGTCTTGGACACATACACGGCATAATAACATCTAACAAGAGCCTGTAGCAACAGCACAACTATAAATAGCATCAGCTAGAGCTTCTGTAAGAAAGGGTTAGGACCTCAGCACTTTCAGTGGATTGGAATGGACGCAGCTAAAGCTCTTGAGGTTACTAAAAAGAAAGGTGAATGAGGCTGAGATTTCTTCTTTGCAAGTTGTTCTCTGGTTTGTCTTTCCATTCCAAGCACCTATTTGCATTCAGTGAAGCATGGAAGAGCTTCCTGCAAAGACTGCAATATTGCCTAGTGAACCAGCTTTCCTTCTCAACCTTGAGCCACTGCCTCTACAAGGAGATCCAATCCCAGCTGCTAAACTTGCAACATAATGCCTGCTCTGCAGTGTTTGTTCCAGTACTTCAGGGGTTTTCTAGTCTCTTAAGTATGTGCCTCGAAAGAGCAAATAGACAAATGCATCAGGAGCACAATCTAGCCCTTGAACAGCCTGGCCTTCGAGGAACATGCTCGCCTCCAGAAAGGTCACATACCACAGACACAAAAAGATCCACCATCTATCAGCAGATTGATACAAAAAGTGAGCCACAAGACACTGCAAAATGCAATCTTCTTGTTATCTCCTTTCTGAACAGGGGACTGCTCCCAGGCCTGTCAGCTCTGTGGATGGGAAACTAAGACCACATGGAGTCTTGGCAAAGACTGGATGATACTTGAAATTGGTAAGAAATGCAGTGCTCAAGCTCAGGGCACACGTCCATAGAGCTCAGAGTATTAATTATACCTTAGTCAAAACAAACTAAGTCCAAGGCTCCTTCCAGAAGTTTGCATCCATGTCCCTGCTTTCAGATGCCCGATCATTAACTTTCTAGAAAATGGGATCCTCATCTGTGCTGACTAAAAAAAAATCTCACAAAACACAACACAAAAAACCAGAAACTATCCACTACTTAATTAATTCTTCTTGGGTTTTCATAAACCCTTCTCCATCTCACCTCCAAAAGCTTCTATTGCTCAGCCATAACATGAAAAGTTGCTGACACCATCACCATTACTAGCAACCCTTGGAGATGGCACATTAGTACAGATAATGAAGAAATGTAGCAGTGTCTTACTCAGGCTGCAAAATTTGAATGTTCAATCCAGTTAAATACCAATACTTCCAAACCCAAAAGAATCATCTGTGCCTCTTTTTTTCCTAATCTACTCTCTCACACAATCATTCTTTTTGGACACCAGATTCTAAGAAATCTCCACCTAAACCTGATAAGTATTTCAACTGTATCTATCCTACTTAAGTAATAGGGCTCCTGAGGGCACAGTGTCCTTGATTTACCACTTGCAAAATATCTAAAAGCAGGACATTATCTATTCCTTTTCACATTGCTCAAACCATGAGGCAGTTCAGCAAGTGGTATAAAGGAAGAAAATACATTACAGATATTAAAAACATACATATACCAAATGGAAAGAGGGATTACTGCCAGCATTAACTAACCACAGACACAGCACACCAAGTGTGAAAATGCACGCACAGAATACGCTACCCCAAGTAACTGGGAAGATCCCTTTCGGGCATCAACCTACCTGCACACGAGGGTTGCGATGATGACACACCAAGCCGTACAGCAGCAGTCAGCATTTAGATGTTCTTCGCTCTTCCGATGGCGGCAACACAGCCAAAATGAGTAGAACAAGAGAAAGAGCAGGTCCAGAGCGAGGCAGGAGAGAGCAATGCCACCCAACAGCAACAGGGCCTGTGGAAAACAGAGACGGGTGTCACATCTGACCACAGTGTTGTTGTAGCAGGGGATGTGAATCAGGGCCCAGATGTTTGAGGGCTCTGCAATAAGACAGCACTGAAGGCATACCTTGAAAACAAATAGTTTTGTGGTTTATGCATATTTTTAAATACGAACAGGAGATTTTTAGCCCCACTTTCTCCCCTCTCTGAATCTCACTTGATGAAATGACATTCTATACCTAAGCACTAAACAGGTGAGACCATTCATCTGCCCCAGTCTGCAAACAGCCTGGGGCAGATGAATGAGGGTTTCCTCTTTACTGCTGATCAGAGGTCAGCAGATTTAAAGGAAAAAAAAAAAAAAAAAAAAAAAATCCACCAACAACAACAAAAAAGTTCAGCCAGCTGCTTCTATCTGTACAGTTCTTTAATCTTCATGAATAAATATGTAGGCTTATTCATTAGAAATCCAAGTGCATGAGTGGGTTTGAAAGGGGGTGGAATTTATTATACATGAGTGAGATTGATTTTAAAAAAAGTGAATCCCCATGCATTGCTTCTGTTCAAGGTAGACCTAGAATAAAAGCTAAAACCCTCCATATACCATCCACATATATAGGTACAACAAATGTGGATGACTATAGGCACACTGGCTTGAAGCTGTCACAAGCTGAGTTATTGTGCTATACCTATTTCTAGTCAGATATTCCTGGGAGGAAAGGGAAGCAATAAGTATTTAACTCCATTCCAATTTCTTTTTATTCAGACAATCCTGGCCAAAACCCAAAAATGCAAAACAATTTTGTTAAATAAAATAAATTAAAAAATCCATTCTAACACCGAATCCAGCCACAATTTCCCATGTGAATGAATGAAGTATTTTACCCAGAAGCTTTTTTGGATAAACCATTGGTAGTGGTGGCAAATGCCAACTTATTAGAAATTACCTCAATATCTGGAAAGGGCCTAAATCACCTACTGCTGCCCCAATATCGGGAAGGCAGACATAGATCTGTATCAGCAAACCTAAAACAAAGGTTTGGGAGTTTTTAAAATCAGTATCTCTTCCTCCCCATGCAGAAATTCCTTAAAGAACATTTATATGCTTCCTTCCAATTAAAACAGCAACTTCCTCCTGGTCAAAGAAACGAAACGAAGAATGCTGTGATTAAAGTAAGATTCTCAGCAGAACTGGTGACCACTTCTAACAGGGTCTGCTGGTAACTTGCTCTTTGTAGGCTTTTCTTCCCCTTCTTTCCCCAGGTCTGATGCATAGGTACACCCTGCTGAGTTGTTATCCTGGCAAACTGTGAGCCACACAACATACTTTCCAGCCAAGCAAACGTCAGTGTGGACAGACTGTAGGGCCCATTGCCATATATAACAAGATTCACACTAGTTAAACCTAACCGCTGCATCACAGATACTCCACGTAGCTGCATGCTGCTTGCTTTCCCAGCCTTAAGAAACCCACCCAAAGCCCATCAAGCACAGTGGGATGGGGGGAGCTTACAGGAGCTGCTTTCCCCAACTAAACAGTAGAAACTCAGTCCTGTTGTAGGAAAGTGAACTTCGGGATCTTTAATAGAGAAGAGTGGGGGTGGAAGGGAAAAAGCCCTCTCCCCCTTTCCCATGATTATGCCAGATGGTGTGCACGCTGTTTGAGCTCCTGAGCAGAAAGGGGCCTTCGAGAGGGAAAACTGCGTTCGGAGTCCCACGTTCTCCCACTTCTGAAGGCTTGCCATGTACGAGCACTCAATACTAATTTAACTAACACATTTGGCATACCAAAGCTCCTTGGGGATATTCTTTATTTTTCAAACACGTCAGGCTGCTGTAATGCAAAGCTTTCCTGCACTGCTTGCCTGCACTTCTTTCTTCACACCCTCAACCTTCCTGCGCATGCTAAAAGGCATTACCACTGGAAAGCCAAACTCAGCTGAAAACATCCTCCCAGCAACTCTATCAGCAAAATATTCACACTGCCCTTCCAGATGTAGGGGAACAGCCCCCATTAAAAAGAAAAAAAGGAAATACTAAAAAGACAAAAAGATGCAACTTGAAGTTCTTGCTTTGAACAGACACTTAGTATATGCTCTAATTTATGCATCTGGCCAAAAGGACTTGGCCGGCCACTACACCATGATCTGTGCTTCATTTTCCAGAGAATATTTGTTTTCCATTGATGGATATGTGCCATGACAACAAGTGAAATCATCCAGCAGAGTAGTTATTAATCTTTCTGACTGATGAGTCAGTTTAGGACCCAGAGACTGGCTGGCAGTGAAAGCCTGGTTGCAACCAAAGATATGCCTGCGCCTGCTTGTCAGGATTAAATGACAGAGTTTTAAAAAAAAAAAAAAAAAAAAAAAGAGAGGGTGAGGCTGGATAAACCCTCAGACACTCTATCCTGCAGCAGTAAATCTGGGACTCGGTTATCCAAGGCCACGTTATCCCGAGTAAATGTAAAATTATGCACTGGGCCTTTTGCCACAAAAGAGCATCAATTTGTCTTCAAACATTTGCTGAGCTATCAGAACCCTTACAGCAAATGATGCATGAACTGCCCTTACAGGAAAATGGAGACAACTTGGAGGAGCAACATTTTACCACTGTGCTGACACTAATGGCAGAAGTGGAGACAGAGCAGTCCCTGAAAATGAGCGTAAATCCAAGTGGTATCAGCCCAACCGGCAGGAGACAAAGCTACAGTGTTAGGAAGCAGTTTCAAAATAAAAGTTAATAGCAGTACCCAGGGAAGTTACCACAAGCAGCACCACTAGCTTGAAAAGGCACCATGAAACCTGAATACACTCGGTCTTGTGCAGGGACGGTGCTCAACAGCCGGCTGAAGTGTTAATCGCCTTTCTCAACTCCAGCATGGTTGCCAGGTTTAATGGTATTTACTCTCTCAATGGGAGCAAAGAGCCAAAAAAGCAGCAGAAAACATCTAGGTCCCCATGCACAGAGAAGGGCACCATCACAATAAGAAACACAAGGAACGGCAAAAACATTCCCTGCAAAAATACCCAGGGGCTGGTTAGCTCTTCCATGTGGTATAAGGGTACCCATAGGTGCTAATACTATACCTAAGGACATATATGTAGATCAGCCTTCAGTTAGCACAGTCCCTTGTCTCCGATACCATGCCTTATGTTACTGTGGATTAATTAAACCAATATACAGCCTTGTCTACTGGATGAAAAGTCTCCATACAAAACAGCCACTTCCAGCTTGCAAGTTCCAAATGGTGATCCACATCATTAGTTACCTGAATATATTTGTGGGCTGTGGTCCTGGAAGGCTAATTTTAGCTGCTGAAACTGCACTTAAGGGATATGTACTCCAACCCATCCTACATACGTAATCAAAGAGAAGTGATCTCCACAAGAACATGAGAAAAGGGATATATACAAGATACATTTGACTATATTTCCTTAGAAAGGAAGGCCTGAAAAAAAGCCATGATGCACTGTAACACAGGAGGTAAATGCTGGGTTGCATTCACATTAAGTTTCAAGGTTTAGCACTGCCTTAAGCACTGTTTGTTTGGCAATTGACTGTACAGAAGAGTGTTGGCTTAGGGACCCTTCCTTATACCACCATGCCCCTCTGCCATGAAGGTTATTTGGCACAAGAAGTCCTGACAGGATAACAGGTTTAGAAAGTTAATTCTGAATACACATGGGCTCAAAATAATCCATGTGTTTATTAAATACAAGTTTTATCAATTTCAACCTATCCAACTTCCAATTACCACACTCTCTAGACCTTAACCGTACTAACAGCAGCATGGTGTAGTGAGCAGCTCTTCATGTGGAACAGATGATAGCTATCTCTGCATAGCGCTGCTATTTTACTACTAGTTAGAAAGTCCACTAAAACTTCATTAAGAAACTTGAGAGCAAAGCTGAAACCTTCAGGTGGTTCCTGAAAAGCATGTGGTTTCACTTTTAATCTTCCATCAATAATTTTAAAGTTATTTCATTTTAAACCTTCATAATTTCAACCCACGGGACAAAATAGCTACAGCTTTTGAGCATCTCAACAACACAGCTGTCTTAATCATTGCCAGATTGAGAACTGTTTGTAGTTTTACCTTAAAGTTAGCTTTTGCCAAAAGAAAGCTTTCCACTGAATCTGCAACTAATATTCCTTCTGGATTTCCATGCAGTGACTTGAGTTTGTGATAATAAAACTGAGAGAAGAGGTTAAAGGAGTGTGGGAAGAGAAAAACGTTCACCCAGAAGAACAAATGAAGCAAACTGGGCTGCTGCCAAAGGAGCGCTCATCTCTATTTATTCCATGAAGGACGGAAGTCTTCTTAGCAAGAAAAGAAACTGCTGTGGGATAGTGTCATGCCTACACTACTTCCTACACCATTTTTTGCAGACTTCAAGATATCTCTAAGAAGCTTACAAACTCACAGATGATAAGTAACTATGTCCCACCAAACTGATTTTTTTTTTTTGTAACACTGGCAACACAAGGAAGACACTCTGACCCCCCTCATCAACTTGTTCCGAGCACGCTGCGTATTCAGAGACTCGATTTTCATTTATGAAAAATGCTGTATGTGGTGTTTGTTAAGATAGTTAAGTGTCTCAGGATGTCATTCATCCCACAGCCTCTACAGAAGGATGCAGGCTTTGGTAGGGAATGCAGCCAACCATGTATTGGCAAATGTAATGTGGGGGGAGGATGTGGAAACCACTGCTGATCTCAGCACTAAACCATCCATATCTCTTCTGCCCGGGGGACAGGCCTTCCCAGGCCCATTACTGTACTCAACACAGTAGAGGAGCAAGGCTGGGCAGGAAACGTGCTGTGGAAGAGGCTTTTCCCACGGTACTGAGACGTATTCTCCTTCATGAGGGATCCCTCAGCAGCATGGAAGAGCACCATGGAAACAGAGGACAGGTTCCACCATCTCATCTCCTTACACGGACATCTCCCGGAGAAAGCATGCAGTAAATTTTATATTTATATTTATATATGTGCATGTATGTATAT